ATAATTGCAACATGTTCCCCTTTCCCCTTCTCTTCAAAGTAAACGATACTCAATCATTTTTATTGCCAGAGCTGTCGATGTAATGGATGTGGATGAAGATATCGACGGGGAGCGTGCTGAGAATGAAGAAGATCCGCAACAAAATGTTGACAGAAATGATGAAGATGGTGATCAAAACGATGAAGGAAGCTTCAGCCTCATATGCAAACCGATCCTGCTCCTCAATGGGATCATGAAGATATATGGAATCAGCTTATGTTTCCCAGACTTGATGAGGTATAGGATTGAATTTGGATTTGATAGGAACATTGGCTGCTAATATATTCGATTTTTCAATGTATTCAAGGTCTTTTCGCATTCAAACACTGAAACGATCCCTCAACATGTTGCTGTAAGCGCTGACATATACACACTTGGAATGACTCGCGGAGGCTCGCAAGAGCTATGCGAGAAAGTAATAGCTAAGGTCAACAAGTATAATAAGGGATCGACAGCCGCATCTCGTAAGCTGCTACCGAGCAGTTAGCGCCCTTCGGGATTTTTTATCCGATCAAGCCAAAGTCGTATCCAGTGTGTCAAAATGGGTGTATGTTGCTGTCCGATTCATGTTCTCTTGTTCGATGCCCATATTGCCTGCGTAATTTTTGCTATCCAGACAACAAGCCTAAGCAAACAATCGAGTATCTCCTTGCGTGATCAGCTCGAACTAGTTGTTAGGGATGATGAAGCACGTGATCTTTTGAAATATGGGCAACATTATTCGGCGAATGACGATGGCATCATGTACGATATTTGATTCTCCTTTTTCATGAAAGAGATCAAGAAGACGCATTTGTTTGATGGTGATATCAACTTGAGCTTGATGCTTTTCACAGATGACTTCCAGCCGTTCAAACGCAGCAGCCACTCTATGATGCTCGTTCGTGATAATTTTGGATTTACCACCTGAAGTCCGATATCATCAAAAGAACATGTTGCAAATATGCGTTACTCCTGGTCCCAGGACTGTCGATGCAATTAGCTTTTTGGAACCAGTTCTCGAGGAGTTGGAATCAATCGCCACTGACGGCTTTCATGTTCAAGTTGGCAGTAGCATGTTACGCGTCAAGGCACACTTGTTGTGCGGCGACATGCCAGCAGCTTCAAAAATGGCAGGGCTTATAGTCATACTGGATATCACGGATGCCGTTTTTGTTACATTAAAGGTACTCCATTGTTAATGGCGAAGTCATACCGAAGGTATATTAACATATATGGGTATTGACAGGAAAACACAATGGCAGTGCAGTGATATTTCCTCCTGAACAGGTGGAATCTGATATGAGAGAATCCAATATGTTTAAAGCTTTACGTTCTTCTATTGGTCAACGTCGCCCCAGTCCATTCGCAACGCTTCCTAGCTTCCATGGCTACACATTTTTCCCGATGGATATTATGCATTTGTTAGGACACGGCATTGCTCATCAGCTATGGAATATGATGCAAGGAACTTACGGCAAAAACAACAATCCATTGTATTTAAGTCCGGCTACCCGTAACACCATCAGCCAACAATTGATTGCTTCAAGCCAAACAACACCATCATCGTTCTCAGGCTCTTGTGGAGATATCAAAAACAAATCGGGATACTTTCGTGCGGTGGATTGGATACACTTTGCCCGCTTCTTATTGCCTACGGTGCTGCTTGGAGTATGTGTCAGACCCAGAGGCTGTAAAAGCTTTATATCACCTGGTCAATATCTTTGAGATTGCATTTAGTCGGATGACCAAGCCAAAAGATGTCAAGTTGTTGAAAAATCTGCTAAAGGTTAGTAAGAAATATGACAATCCTGAATGTTTAACTAAAAACAACACTTGTTTTATTTACAGGGTGGACAACGTTTCTCAAATCAAGGCATTCTGACAAACCTCTCTGACTCAGTGTTTACAATGAATGAACATTTCGTTACATTTGCATCGTGTTCTCCGCCACCTTGGTCCATTACCAGTTTATGCAGCATTTGCTATGGAACGTGCTATTGGTGAGATCAAGGGTCACATAAACTCAAAAAGCCCAGGAAAAATGCCAGCAATGTGTTGGTTGATTTGGCAGCAGCTCGTTATCGAGAAAAAAGAATGCAAGGAAACAACGATGATAGTGAAGAAGGTCGAGCCCAGAAGAGATTTATTACCACCACCAGCAGCGATGTGGGCAGCCCTGATTGTGGGGGCCTTGTATTCGATGGATCAATTTGAGTACAAATCTGGCTCAAAGTTGGCTATTCGTGATTACTGGAGATGGTGTCGTGGTGCACAGCATTTGACCATTCCTAATTGTGATATACAGCAAGCATCGCGAATGTGGAGAATGGGCAATTATGATATACCGTTGGTGTTCACCAGTGCGCTAAGGAATGAAAGACGGCCTTTGTCAGATGCATTATACCTGTTGATGTTGATAAATCAAATGATCCAGCTAAAGTACAAGTACAATCAAGAGCATACATCGGCCAAAGTTAAATTTTTACTGCAACATATATACGATGATGAAGAGGTATTGCTCGCTTTGGTGGAGGTATGCAGTACGGATGTAATTGATGGCGTACCATGGCCTTATGGAACGAACAAACGCAAAGCATTGAAGGCCGCTTACCATTGTCTTGTATTGTTTCAGACGTGGGGGTATCGCGGGCAAGCAGTGGCCGACATTTTTCTTCTGGTCAAGCAGCAATGACAAAGGCTGAAGATTTTGCTGTAGATATAGACCACCCTCTGCAATATATATGATGATGCACACTACCGCTTTTAACAGACGTGAAGATCCCGATCAGCGGGATAAGTGAGCTTCTTTTGTCATTCCTTTCGGCTTGTTCTCATGTAAAAAGGCTGTCACAAAACCAAGCTTGTCCCAAGATTGTTCGCATATTCTAGACACCACCCATATTCCTTTAGCCTCCATGCAGATTCAGATTTCCCCAAGATTCCTTTCAGCTTGTTCTCATGTAAAAGGCTGTCACAAAACCAAGCTTGTCCCAAGATTGTTCGCATATTCTAGACACCACCCATATTCCTTTAGCCTCCATGCAGATTCAGATGTCCCCAAGATCCCTTTCATTCCATACAGCGGCCATACAACTCAAGATTCCACCCATTTTTAAGATTTATGCCATATGAAATAGATTCTGTCTAGAGCAACTACCCCCAGTGTAACATCACGCTTACAAACATAAAGGTGCCTGTATCTCCAAACTTTACAATGAAACGTGGGGTTTTTATTAGAGCAATGTGCTCGGCTTGGCCAACTGCACCTTGTGTGAAAGTTTTGCAATCAAGCTTGCCAATCCCAGATTTCGCAAATGTCGCCACCAGCTAAACTAGATCCGGGGGTCGACCTCTTCGACGACGACGACCAAAAAAATATTTTTGGGCTAGTTGCGACATTGAACGTGAAACTTTCACACAAGGTGCAGTTGGCCAAGCCGAGCGCATTGCTACAATAAAAACGTTTCATTGTAAAGAGTTTAGTTTTACTGTAAGCGTGATGTTATATGAAAGAGTGGTCTTTGTTCATTGTCAAGTAGGTGGACCCTGGCAGAGCAAAAGATGCAGAGGGTCGTGTTGTGTAACACAGCTACGTTTGCATGAATGAAAGGGTCAATGTATAATTACTTTATGGATCATCTAGGAACAGGCATGTATTGCTAGCTAACGGCCACTTTTATTCATTCATCATTGTTGCGAGATCCACTGCATGGGAACAGAAACGCCCCTGCTCTAGACATTCATTTCCATGATTAAAGTAGAGTTGATCCGAGCTGATTTGACTGAGCTGTGATCAAAAGAGAGATTACATCACTCTGGACATCAAACACGCTCGATGTAGCTCAACCGATGTAATCTTGTGTGAGCGTAACTCAACCAAATCAACTCGGATCAACCTACTTTAATCATGAAATGAATGTCTAGAGCAGGAGCATCGTCCACCTACAATAGAATGCACAAAAGTTGGGAATGCACAAAAGTGGCTTTAGCTGCCAATGTATGACATAAAGTGAGGGTTGCGTACCTTTCGCCATTTGTCCCTGAAGTCCTGACTTTTTAGCTGAGAGTTACCCAAAGAGGTCCTTCTGCATCTTTTGCTCTATTATAGTCACCACACTTTACATTAAACAAAGACCACTTCTCATATAGCATCACGCTTACAAACATAAAGGTGCCTGTATCTTTAAACTTTTACAATCAAACGTGGGATTTATTAGAGCAATGTGCTCGGCGGCCAACTGCACCTTGTGTGAAAGTTTCACGAATCAAGCGCCCGTCCCAGATTTCCGCCAATGTCGCTACCAATGCAAACTGGATCTAGGGGTCGACCTCTTGAAACTTTTTTCGACGACCAAAAAATATTTTTTGGGCTGTTTGCGACATTGAACGCGAAACTTGCACACAAGGTGCAGTTGGCCAAGCCGAGCACATTGCTCTAATAAAAATCCACGTTTGATTGTAAAGTTTAAGATACCACCTTATATATGAGTGGTCTTTGTTTAATGTAAAGTAGTATGACTGTGGGGCTTAAAGATGCAGAGGGATCGTGTTTGTGTAACTCAGCTCATTATGCATGATTGGAAAGGGCAATGAATGATGTTCAGTAACAGCCCGTTACTGGCAGCTAATAGCCACTTACTCCCATCTCCAGCTGTTGTCCATTCTATGACATGTGAACAATGCTCCTGGTGCAGACATTTTTTTCCATGATTCAGTTGTCTTGATCCGAGCTGATTTGATTGAGTTAAGGTCAAATCAAGAATACATCAATCCCTATACAGGATGGCGCTATCTATCTCAGCTGACGTGCTCTTTGTTTGACCGTAACTCAGTCAAATCAGCTCGGATCATGACAATCGAATAATGGAAATCAACGTCTGGAGCACGGGCATCATTCCCATGCAGTTGGATTTGCCAACAGTGTTGATTGGCAGGAAATGGTTGTTAGCTGGCAATACATTAGCTGGTGCTTATAGCGATAAATTGACATGCATTGACCATGTAGCCCTGATTTCTTTGCTCTGTTACAGAAGCAAGCCGGTCTGCATGTTTGGCTTTATTAGAGTTTAGCTACTTGACAATGAGTAAATTCCACTTTTCATACAACGTCACGTTTAAAGCCTGTAGTAAAAGCATAAAGGCGGTTGCATCTCTAAATTTTACCATCCCCCATGGGTGTCTTCAATAGAACCAAGTTGCTCAACGTGGCGCAAAGAACCTTGTGTAGAAGTTTCACTATCGAAGTGGCGACCCAGTATAATTGATGTAACTATGTATATAGCCTGCGAGCCAATAGCCCATTCCTCCCATTTACCTTTGTTGTCCAATCCATTACATATAACCGATTCCTCTGCTCCAGCCCAACATTTCCCTCATTCAACTTTCATGATTCAAGCTGATTTGGATGAGCTACGGTCAAACAAAGAATCATCATACAACATCCAAATCAATAGTTACTTCATAAACTGCCACTTGATGGCCCATTCCTCCCATTCATATTATTTGTTGCCCAATCTAATGCATGAGAACGATTGTCCTGCTCCAACCGATCATTCAACCTTCTTGGTCTGGGTGGATTTGTTTGAACAACGCTCAAACAAAGAAATACCATTCAACATCATCAGTTCAACCTATTTAATTTTACTTCTTCCATTATCAGCTTATAGTGTCTTCCTTCCATCCTTCCTTGTTATGGATAGATAACACGACAACATTGGTTTGCATCATATGAACATCATCGTTGTTAGGCACTTTATATAAGTACTTGACCGCTTTAAACACAAAATGATGAATTGAACAAGATTATTATACGTAGTCATTTTATTATGATGGACAAGGTATCCATGGCAATAAAATTCATGCTTGACAATGATCTGCGGTTGCAAAGTGACTTGTAGGACGGGATCTGGTTTTACTGGGAGCGCACACCTCTCACTTCTATCGCCTTTTTGTTCCCACTACATCCCACATCTGTTACCATGTCCAAGTTTTACGAGTTCAAACAGCAGGCAGAGAGTGCAATAAGCGAATGCGTTCGATCGATCGACGAGATACGACAAAGCAACGGCGGCAGCGAGATCCCTACCAGCACCTTTGTTGACTTGGCTAAACGACACATTGGCCCCATCAGCGGTTCCGATAATATGCTTGATATCACGATACCAGAAGGAAAAGCAGATTGGCGAAAGAGTGCTATTGAACTTGTGCTTCGACGCATGGTGCTTTCAGTGGTGGTAAATGCCCAAGACAATACAAGACGCTATCGTTTCGATCCAACATCTCATCGCGTGCTTCCTCTCCCCACACATACATACATACATACACCCATCGCGTAGGAAACTATCCCCGAATCAGCTCCCGATCGATTCCCAAAGTTGTTCAGCACGCTTGATCTTGTTCTTGCAGCAACCGAAGCAGGTAACGAACGTATTCTATTTGCTGGTTGAATAGCCGCTTTGCTTACTCGATCCACGATAGATTACCTTGAAGCTGTGGTTCCCTTAACTATGGTGGAAGAGCTATTGGACATTCATACAATCTCTGGATGTGAGAAGCTTTTTGATTATATCGAACGACGAAAACCAAGATTGATTGTGGCAAGTATTGGGAGCCAATGGTGATGGATGAGAATTCGACAGCCAACTAATTTCATTGTTTATCTCCAGAATATGGTGCCTGGTCGTGGTAAAGGTCTTGTCATGCTGCGCATGTGCAATGAAATGCTTCGACGACTCTCCAAGGAGAAAGATACAGTCTTTTGTGGACGCATCCTTATGTTCCTCGCCAATTCATTTCCTCTGCATGAACGTTCCGGTACGTGTGCTGTGCGTAGTTTTTCTATCTTTATCATTGAGTCTTACTTGGATCATGCTAGGTGTCAATCTTCGTGGTGATTTCAACACTGAACCAGTCCTTTACGACAAAGATGAGGATGTTGATGCTGACAGCACATTGACCGGTATGTAATGACCCATTTGCGCAAGGAGTGTATTAATCATGGATGCATCGTAGATGATCAAAAGACATTTTACAAACTATTCTGGTCCACACGCAAATACTTTTCGAACCCGCCTACTATATTCCATGACAATAATTTTGAGGAATTACAAAAGGTGAGATGATTCAATATTGCTAAAGGGTCTTTGCTAATAGGAAACATGTAGGGAGCAAATGCGATCCTTGACAAGTTCAAGCAAATCTCCAATTCAGAGCAGGCCGTGTCAGGCGAAGGAAATGCAACAGAGTCGAACAAGAGGAGGAGGAGTGAGGACGTCAACATGGTCGACAGGGATCAAGCTGAAGAGATGCTGAAGGAGATCAACCAACAATTTCAATTTCCACGATTACTTAGTAGCCGCAAATTGCTAGAGCTTGAAGTAAGTATAACTTTGTGAGGTGTCAAGTGATTTCCCCCATTGCTGACTCATTTCTAGATAGAAGATACACGATTCCGGCGCAATGTCATTGTTCAATTCTTGATTCTATTCCAATACCTGACGGGGTTCAAGTCATCAGAAAAGGAGCGAACACAAAAGCTACTCTCTGCCCGAGGTGCCACAAAGCAATCTCTTGTTCAGCCTGTATTTACTCTCGAAGGTGATCAAGTAAGTTTGTTGTTGTTGATTTCGTATTGTGGGCTCTAGTCCTAATGCCATATCATAGTTGCAATGGGTCAAGGATACCAAGCACGCCATGTTGGAGCTACTAGAGATGACAAAACCTCATGGTCAATTGTACACAGACATCGTATTAACGCTATTGCGACATGAACGCAACTGGGTACGTAGGGAAGGATGTGATGTCATGGGATTTTCACTAAGCTATGAGGATTATAGATCATATGGAAAGCCTCTGGATGTCCCGATTTTGAAAAGCCTCCGGTCGATACAAAGGTGTTGCAGGATATGTGGCAAAGGAAACGACCCCAAACCAAGGTAAGAGGAAGGAAGGGAATATGGATATGGGATCAACCATGCTGACTTGGCATTGTCATAGATGGCATTGGCTGCATATCGTTATCCCTATGGCAACTCCGAATTGACAAGCATGTTCAATACATCAAGAGAGAAATTAAGTGATCTGATGCAGTAAGTGATCGTCGAGCTCTTTTTTGGGGAAAAAAGGAAGGAAGGCTCAATGGCTTTTTCTCTATGATAGATCACGTCCCGCACCACCTAAACCTGTGGAAATCATCGACAGCACACTCGCGCGTTTGGAGAAGGAGACCAATTTATCAGACAATGAACGCTTCAGCATTGCCAATGGAGCACTCTTTCAGGCAACCCGTTTCATGCTCAAAGACAAAGCGCATTTGGTGACCAAGGTTTACACAGTCAAGAAGGATGTATATAAGGCGCTTAAGGAGGCAACCAACAAGGAAGGAAAGGTGGATGATGAAGCAACGAAAAAGACGCTGGACGTAGATGAAAAGACTGGAAAGCACGTTGATGCAGAAATCAAGGTTCTCAAGTTGACGCGGGATCTGCTGACTGGTACCGCCGCCAATAAAAGTGGTCAATAGACTAGTAACTACAATTGTACATAGAGCTCCTTTTGTTTTGTTTTTTTTTCTTTGATTATCTATTTGGATGAATAACAACAGCCAACTCAGCACTGAAACAAGAGTCATTAGCCCTTACTTTGTTTTATGTCAGCTTTGCAACTCTCTTTTCTTTTTTCTCATTACTTGGGTCAACCCGTATCTTGCTTTTGACTCTTGCCATGGACCAAGCGTCTTCAGCTGTGTCACAGTAAGTGCCAATCTTTTACTTTTACAACCACCGTCTTATTAATGCAACATGCAGAGAACCTCCAGCACAGAGTGGCAACAATAACAACCCTCCCGAGAGTAATGCAACTCCCACACCAACAATCTCTATTGAGGTATGTGTATGGGAAGGATACTCAACACAATGAAAATGCTTATTTTTCTTTGTTCCAACATGATAGCCCACAAGCAATGGAGGTGGTGAGCCGACATCAGCACAACCATCACCATCAGAGGTGCCATCCACTGTATCAGACCAAACCCCTGCACCAACTTCTTCAACGCCAGCAGTAGAATCATCCACCAATACAAGCCCGACACCTACCGGCAATACTGATTCCAATGCACCAGCTAGCACAACACAAAATCCATCACCATCACCAACCGGGAATAATGGTGGACAACCCACAATTGGACCATCGAATGGAGGTATGATAGGAATGGAAAAAAGGTGGTAAGAGATTGATGATGTTTATCGTTTTTATTGGTAGGTGGTGGTGGATCACATACGAACAAGGGAGCCATTGCGGGAGGTGTTGTTGGCGGGGTAGTTGGGGTTGCATTAATAGGTGAGCATTGACATTGGTATGTGCAACGTGACACGCATCAATGCTGATATGATTTTATATGAAAGCACTTGTACTGTTCCTTATATGGCGGCGACGACGACGATTGGGACAAGCTCCGAAGAATGCTGATGATTTCATGTCACAGCCTTATGATGATGATTGGCGACGACAAGATGGCGGAGGTGGTGGTAGAGGTGGATGGAATCAACAACAGCAAGGAAGATTAGGACCTACCGTGCAACAATTTCAACCACTTTACAGCACCAGCAATAATGATATTCCAGTAAACAAACCTAATGTGCCAATCTACAAGCCTGATGATCCTTCAAGAACGACCCATAATGCACGTCGGCCTTATCCCCCTTCACCTATAGCTCCCGATGATGATCCACAACAACAAGCAGTAGGAGAAGGAACATCATCAGCCAATCCCAACAACAATAGCAGTACGAGTGCGGCTGCAGGATCAGCTGCAACTGAACCAGACAAACCAGATGAAAGACATGATGCAGCAGCATCACCCATATAGACTACTCTTTTTATCAACATGACAACAACAAAAGGCTCAGCCCAACACACACACATGATCACATCCATAGCATTGCTTGCTCTTCTTTCTTTCTTTCCAATGTCTTTATTAAAACAAACACCCGTATTCAATAGCAAGGACTCGGTTGCAACTTTGGTACTTGTCTCTGTGGAAGCTATACTCTTGTCGATTCTCGAAGGATTGGTTGTCATGAATCACCTTGCATTGGTCAGCAATTGCAACATGGATCGCAAGGGGCAGGGTATACTATACGTAGTACACATGGCTTGCTTTGCTCATTGTATTGAACCTTTTCACGTAGGTGTTAGTGAATCGGATTTGATCTACCACTCGCTCTTCATTGTTGCACAGGTGTTTCAAGTCGTCTTGTGTGTTGATGCCTTGCATAGTCGAAATACAGGTAGCATTGTCTCTTTGTATGTTATCCACATCCTTGTTAACAACTATGTTTAGCTCAACTCTGTACGCTCTTGGTATTCGGGTTGCTTGTCATAGGTATGGGATAGGCGATATCAAATTGGAAACATTGATTGCGTTGTTGATGCTCCTTTATCAGTGTAGGGATCACCCTCTTATCTTTTTCTTTCGACTATGATTGACAACATTGTTGATGATGTAACAACAGCTATGGTGGTATCCAGCTTCAACAGCACATGATCCTCGAAAACGTTGGATGGTATGTATTATTTAAAAAAAAGTGATTTGTAATGACCAATCTTAACCAAGCTTGCTTGTACATGTAGTGGTTCGGAAGAGCTCTGGGCACCCACGGATCCTCGATGGTCGGATACGATTCAAGGACAACAAGAAGCGATCACCTATTATCGAAGCAAGATGCGGCCATTGGAATACAGCATTATTGGTCTCATCCCTGCTTTCTTTTTGATGTTGACATTTTTCGCTTGGCGTTTACGAAAGGAATTTGCATGGGACAATTACAGGGCATTTTCAGCCGATATCCGGTATGTATGTATGCTCTTCTACATGCCATACGGATAATTGTATTCATGCACGTCATTCATGTATGGTGTAGCATTCGCCATGCATTGATCATCACAAGTCTTTTGTTGACACTGCTCAAGCTTGATTTCTTTTTCATCTTTTCGTTTGCTGCACAATTGATTCCTTCTCAAAAGCTTCACTATGATGAGACGGTGAGTGAAACGGTGCTTGTTTTCGTTCTCGGTGCTTTGGGTCTCAGTCTCGCCATCTTGGCTGTGTATCGCGAAAGCATTCATTGGATGATGGCCTTTATCCTTTGCGGTGTATTTGCGATTGGCTACATGGTATACCGTCTTGTCAGCATCTCACTATCTCGGGACCCTGTGGATGATCCTTACGAGTTTACACGAAGGTTTCTCATCTTTACTGTCGCCAGCGCCATTGTATTGATTTCGTTGACCGTCTTGGTGGCCACTCGCTGCTTGTGGATTTACAAAAAAGGGATCTACGTGTACGCCAATCGAAAACATGTTGCCTGGCAACAAAGAGTCAACATCAACCAAGATTTGGATATCATTGAGCCTGACGACGACGAGGAGAATCAGCCTTTAGATACTACCTTGTTGCATGAGACTAGAAAATGAGATCTTCAAATACACTTCCTTCTATCGTTACGTTGTATGTACCAAATTAGGCAACGATCTTTGTTGAAGGGTCATGTGCCCGACATGTGTGTGTGGTGTCACTTCCGTTGAAGGTTCCTTTTACGTAGGTTTGCAAGGCATTATAGGTTTACTAGTGTGTCTTCTTTGTTGTTGTTGATATTGTTTATTGTGGTCTTGCTTGTAAAAAGGTCTATGTATCCTTGCACCATTATTATGGAGAATGTGGGTGTTAGAGAATATGGCAGTTTGTACCAAAACGAGCAAGTCTATCTCGAAAGGGATGTGTGTCACTTGCCATTCCGCTTGTGTTAATGAGGAGGCTCGTGGTGATGACAGCTACAGAGACTGATAGGCTTGCGTTCCATCTATTCTCTGCACAACCTGATTGGTGATCCACAGCCTTCATCACATTTTCAATATGATAGGTTCTCACGACGAATTTTCCACATTTATGTGTACTTTGGAGAGCGCGATAATACATGGGCTGCTGTTGTTGGATATTAGGTGATCAAATGGTACCACACAGAATGACTCAAACATCATGTCGGTCCTATTGAATGGATGAGATTTTTACAAGGAGATGATCAAACACGAATGTTTCGAATACCATGTGGTGGTGGGAGCTACATACATCACAAGGAGCAGCTGCTTGCTTGCATCATACCTGTAACACCTTGTAGTAGCTCCTTTATAAAATGCGTCTGATCATGCAATAGGCCATGGAATGGGCCATTTTGAACATGGCAAATGGTATCTGCATATGCGTGATCATCAATTGGAGAGAGCAAAACAAAGCGAGCGGTTGCGTGATTGGGAATTGGGGTGGATATCTCAAGAGAAACGCTCAATCTAAGGCGGTAAAATCAGAACGACTCATAGCCCTTTCAGCCAATCATTAACCACATTATGCGATCGGATGTTCAATGGAAGCCCTTGCCTGCCTTAAATACCAAATGGGTAGTTCTCCTTCTCTTTCCTTCCAAAAGTCAACGTACCCACCCAATACACTGAAAAAGATAACGCCATCATCCCTGTCAAGTCATTCCATGGTTTCATTATTATACGATATTAAAGATTGGAAACATCAGCAAACAATACCCCACAGCATCATGATACCCTCTGCAAACAACACTACTACTACGAGTCGCTGGTCATTATTACATCAACAGCAGCAACAACAACAACAGCAACAGCAGCCCAACACGTCAATGGATGATGCAACATTGGCAAGTCCCATCTCCATAAGCTACGATTCAGAAAGCTATATTTCATTATCAGATGACGAGGAAAGCGATGATGAAATGTTATTATTACCACTAAGCAGCAGCTCCTCATTAACTAAATGTGACGATAATGGGTGTGGCGGTTCATTACGTTTCTATGGTCAACGACTTGGTGGAGCTGGTGCCATCCAAAAAAGACGTACTAGCCGTAATGCAAGGTTACAAGAAGCGCACCGGTTTGAAATGTTGAAGCGTCGGTTATGTGAGCTTGAGACACGTAATCAACGTTTAAAGGTGAAAGAGATGACGTTGGAAGAGCAAAGGGATGCTGTAGCTGCCAAGGAATACGAGGATCGTCAACGTGTACTCCAGCTTGAAGAGCAACTTAAGGCTTTGAAGGAATCATTACTAACATGCGCATACACGGATAAATGATTGTTCTCTTTCAACCCCACATGTCAGTTTACCTGGTCGCTTTTTTTAGTTGTAAAGTTGATCTCTTTGTCACTCACTCACTCTCTTTTTACCCCGTTCAAAGTTCTCCGTTCATCCTATTTCGTCTCATTTCGCTCGTTTTCCTCCTCTTATTTGATCCCTCACATCGGCACATACGCGCTCTCACTCACATGTATTCATACAATTATATTCGCTCTCATTCCCCCGTATTGATCCCGTCGCCCCCTTTCCACGTTTTTCACTGCCAATGAAGTTTGGGTATAATTACCAGCATATTCAGGAACTCATGCACCCGTGTTTGATGCAAGTGTGTGCGTGCATGTATGTATGGGTGTGAGTGTGTATGTATTTTCCCTTTTCTCTTTATATGAAAGACGCAGGTACCAATCTTATACCGGTATGAAACGACTTTTAGCCAACAACGATAAGGAAAGCTCTCTATCATCACATTGCAATAAGAAGCAACCCAGCAGCAACATCACCATCACTGCTACAACAACCATCGGAAGCAACTCCGCAAAAGTGTCTCGTTATCATGCAGCAAATGTTGTTGATGCGCCCGCACCTTGTTCCTTTCCTTCTTCCTTTCCTTGCTGCTCATCAACTTCGCCATTGCCAATGTCGACGGCATCTCATTGTTGGAGCTCTGCTGAAAGCTTGACCAACACCCACACCTCCTCATTCGTCGACACCAACCCAGACTACAGCGCTCTACGAAAAGCATTCACCAAGTAGGAAAACACCGGCCGAATAGCACAAAGTCCCGTTCATATTCTAACATCCTCATCCAGGTTCCAAAACAAACCCAAACAACGGCATACAATCCTTAAGCAGCATGTTATACCTTGGCTTCAGAAATCAGATACATCATCATCATCATCATCATCATCACCATCGTGGTCAACAGGAACAGGGGAAAAAAGAGGAGGTCATCCTATCAAGTCAAGCATGACTTCCACCACCAACGACACTGCTGCGATGGATCAACAAAGCAACAATAACAACAACAACAACAAAATGTTTGCCAACAATCAGGGGTTTTGGAGTCAAAAGGCAAATGTGATCATTAGTGGGGCACAGCAACACTTGGCAAAAGAGCATCGGGATGACGTGTCAACTGGAAGAATCATGCTTTTGAGATGGTAATTTGGCCTTTATTAATCTATTGAGTAATCTCATACTTTTATTGTATGTGTAGGTGGCGCGTATTGATGAACAATATTCCTCATGTCCCACATACTGAACGACCCATTTACTTGGAATGTATCATTGATATCATGGCAAGGTAAAATCATCCTCCTCTCCCCAACCCAGAGATATGGCTACCACCACCACCACTACTACTACTGCTGCTGATCCATCAGCCTCTTTTTCCTTCCTCCCCCCTTATCATCTCTCCCCCATTCTATGGCTTTACCACCCACATTACGCGTGGCACAAGATCACATCACACTCACACTCATCCTACTTTTCTCTTTCTTTCTTACATATCAGATACGAATTCAGTGAATATGGTAAATCAAACATTTACTTGCATTAGCCTTGTTACGTATGTTGGGGTTGCTTATCAACAAAAATGCAGACAAGACGACCGCCAATGATTACAATCTATGGTGCAGCAGCAACAACAACAACAACAGCAACAATCATCATCATCATGGATCTGGAGGAGGAGGAGGAGGAAGTGCAACAGCAGCCTATGAGGAATACCGACACTTGTTAATTGGCACGCTTCGATATGCTATCAGCAAACTCAATCAAAAAGCCATCTATGCTAATATGGTTGCTTTTTCATCCAAAGTGCTCGGTACGTGTCTTTTCCTCCCCCCTTTTTTGTACACTTTTCTATATTGAGATTTCTTTTTGTGTATCCATGCGCTGAAACAAAATGACGGTCCGACTGACATGCATTATTTTTCTTTATTAGCCATGTGCTTTTTCAAGATCCCGTGCGTTGCTGCAATATTACTACAAGCACTACGTGTCAAACCACAAACGATTAGAAGAGTGCGTTCAGAAATGGGCCATTCAATGGATGAGTAAGTTTTTAAATGCATCCTTTTCTTTCTTTCTTCTCCCTATGCTACAAGATGAACCCCCTTGTCTCATTTCATTTTTATAGATGCACGATGCATATGCGAGAAAGCTTATTACCCGTGTTTGGTTGTCATTTGCATGCGCTAATGACTGCAGACCCGCGATGCTACACAAATGTGATTCAAAAAAGCTGCAGCTGCAAAGATCCTCCCGTGCCACTCTCCGGAAACTGGATCCGAAGGTAAAGAAAGAAAGAATGAATGAGCTTGCTCATCAACATCATGAGATTTTAACGTTTTCATTAGGTGGCAGAGTGATGACAGTGATCTCTTTTTCTTTTTCTATCGTCACTATCATGCAACCCTTGGCTCAATGCTTGTACGTGCGTACCCCTCCGTTTCAACGCAGGAGTTGCATCGACGCAACATGTTCCTAGCATCATCACCAGGCTATATTTACTTTGCTGCCTACTTTTCAGATAAAGTCAACTCGTTATTAAAGCGACAATTGCACCAAGTCACCACTGTACTTCATCAACAATGCCCTTCATCATCAACCACCACCTTAGCAACCGGTATGCAGGTACAACAGCAGCAACAACAACAACAACCATCTACATCAATGTGGAACCCAACTACAACAGCAGCAGTGGAAAATGAACGATTGGCTAATCCTATCATGTCGACAATGGATATAACACGAAACGATCTACAACAACAACAACCATCCGTTGCCATGGCAGCAGGCCAACAACAGCAGCAACAACAACAACAACAACAACAAATGGCGGTTGGAGGCAAGCCACGTGCATTGGAAATGGCCACGCGCAAGTATGCAGAATGCATGGTGTGGTGTGCAACACGTTCCCATGGGGTGTTTCATGATATGCTGAATGTGTGGATACGATCCATCATCAAACGTGTCAGCCTTACTGCTACAGAGGCCGTCTTTTGTAAGTGATGATACCGTATTATTATCCTCAACATGGATCACTCATCTTATTTTAAAGGTCTTTTGGATTTTATGGATATAGTATTGGCTGGCTTGGATAAGTAAGTGCATGCATACATAGGATCATGTTATAAGGCATAGGCTGATGATAGGTACATACATACATCATGTAGAACAAAGCCATGCAAAGAGAAAAGCACAACGTCATCATCATCACCAGTCGACGTACCCTTTATTCTGCACACGATTCACATTTTATTGGCCAAATCCGATCACACAGTCAATCTTTTGCGTGCATTGTCATTTGTTTACAGTCATTTCGCGTTCCTCACTTCACGAGCCGTATTACTCGACATGCTGTGCAACCGTATTTTGTTGGAGCCTTATATTTTTGAAAAGTTGCTATTACATTGGAGCCGCAACGTGCGTCACTTTTTCTGGCGATGTCTGTTTTGGCGAGTTGGGAGGGTTTGGTCACATCGAGAAATCAAATGGCCAGATACACAAAGGGGAAAGGAGACTTGTGATGGACTTTCATGCTTCCAATCATGGTGTGACGACAAAACAGGTACGTATCGAATATCGATTGCTGCATACAATAATAATAAGTTCTCTAACATGCTACGTACCATAATAATAGAACCAATCCCTTGCTACGAAGCGCTGATGGAGTGTATCCAAGGACACGAAAACAAGGCCTATAAACGATGTGCGCTGTACGTGTTCATCCTTTGATGTTGGCCACAATGACTCATTTATTTATTTTAGGGAGGTACACATCTTGCTGGAATCCATGTTGGCGTCATTATTGGAGCAACACAACAATGATGTGGTTCACCCAGAGAGTTGTCAACTTGATCCTTATCCAATGCCACGCTTTACAAGCATGTTGACACGACTTGTCACCGAATCAGCGACAACAACAGCAGCAGCAACAAGGAGATCAGTGCGCAACCATCTCATTGCACCACAACCTTCACAAAGCATGACCATGCCAACGAAGAACACCAAAGCTGACACCAACGGCAACAACAGCAGTAGTAATAAGACGAGAGGACAACGACAACGAGGTTCATCTATTTTGAGACGTACGCTCTTTCCACGCATTAACAATAACACACGTGACGGCAACAGTACTCGTCTTTTCCCCTTTTTGAGTACATCAGACGACAAAAAGACAAAGCATCATCAACAACCACCACCCCCTATCAAAGTAGTTGACGGCAGAAACAGCAGCAGCGTTGATGAGTGGATCTCATCCGCAAATGATGCATTATCATCATCACCATGCATTGAAGTATATACAGTTTCATCTTATCATTCGGCATCCTCTGAAGATGGTAGTACTACTACTACCACTACTACGGCTAATACGACTGGCAACAACAACAACAGCACTGCCACCATCACATTATCCAATGCATCTACACCATCCATTGTTTCAGAACCTTCCGTTTCATCATCATCATCATCTTCACTCTCTTGCTCATCCTCCTCTTCTTCTTCCAAAAGCAGTAGTATTCAACAATGTTCTTCGGACGTGACACCATCATCTTCATCCCCATCCAGCAAACTCCTCTTGCCGTTATCGTCACCTCCACAACAGCGATTATCCATTCTCGAGGCACTTGGATCATCATCACCCAACAATAGTAGTAACACGACGCATCATCATCATCACCAGCAACAAAATTTACTCTTGGACCGGCTTTCGGTAGCACGCCAATGGAAGTATTCTTCACGACATCATGTTTACGCATCCAAAAGCATTGCCGAAATGAATGGAGTCATGGAAGAGTATACTGCATGGAAGAAATCACGCTCGGTGACACATGACGAGAAGAAACTCGTGTCCTATGCACCCAATCTCTGTCTCGATTGGCCAAAGAGCTGGAACATGCCATAGAATGATCATGTTATAAAGAAAAGAGTTTTATTTTGTCAATATGAAGAAGCGTGTCAATGGATGATACTAGAGTATGTACAGGGTAAGCTAATGCAGGTACAGGTGACGGTGGTGGGTGATGTTGCATGATCCCAGATTTCTCACGCACCCATCATCCATCATCCGAGTAACTGGGAAAAATGATCATTATCTACCATCTCGAGAGTAATTGTGTTCCATTTCATTGATAAAATTTTTTCCATCCGAATGCATTGAGATAATAGGTGATCAGGCGATAAGCCCAGTATGTAGAGAAGTGTGATGCGAGTATGTGAGAGAGCCAATGGGTGAGTGTAACCCCACAGTGTGGGAAAGATGGGGGAGAATAAAATAGCCTGCCATTGTCGTCCTGAGCATGAACCTTTTGTTGTTTCTCCACACGACACCTTTTTGTAATGAACGACACCATTGCCAATGCTTCCATTCAAGAGCTTTCCTCGTGGGAATTCGCTCAAAAGCTCGATGCTCAAGATCCATTAGCCAAGTTCCGTGACGAATTTGCCATTCCTCCTCGCCGTTCAGTGTCGGGTAGTCATCCCGTAGTTGGTATGTTTATCTCACTATTTATCATTCCTCTTTATTGACATGGGGGTTAATAGAATCCGATGCCGATCTCGATAAACCATGCACTTACCTCTGTGGCAACTCCCTTGGTCTTATGCCAAAACGATCACGTGAATTGGTGATGCAAGAATTCGATGTATGGGCTGATCGGTACGTTGAATATGATGATTTGCATGCAACAACAAGAAAGACTCATACGATTAAAGTGGTGTGGTGGGTCATTGGGATCATCCTGGTCATGGTGGATGGGCCGTCATTGATGAACCTCTCAAGGAACCTTTGGGCCGTCTTGTTGGTGAGTATTACCTTGTCAACAACAACAACAACAATGGACGCTGATGATGATGAGTATCAGGTGCCAAGCCAAGTGAAGTTACCCCAATGAATACCTTGACGGCAAACCTACATGCAATGATGGCGTCGTTTTATAAGCCAACCAAAGACCGATTCAAGATCCTCATCGAAGCAAAGGCTTTCCCATCCGATCATGCAAGTATACACAAATCACTTTTGTATGGTTTGATCGTATTATTAACATGGAGATGATCTTGATTTAGTATGCCGTGAGCTCCCAACTTAGATTGCATGGCTTTGATCCTGAAGAGGCTTTGATTGCATTGGCACCTCGTCAAGGCGAGAGCACCCTACGCACTGAGGACATCATTCAAACGATTCGTAACGACCATCAAATTGCCTTGGTCATGTTTAGCGGCATCCAATATTACACGGGACAATTGTTTGAAATTGAAAAGATTACACGCGTTGGCCATGAAGAGGTAAGGTGCACGGACTCCGATAACGAGACAAAACGAAAGCTTAACCTTAAAATGAATAATAGGGTTGCGTTGTTGGTTGGGATTTGGCCCATGCAGTAGGCAATGCTCCTTTGCAACTTCACGATTGGGATGTCGATTTTGCTTGTTGGTGCTCATACAAATACTTGAATTCGGGTGCTGGTGGTATTGCTGGTTTATTCGTGCATGAAAAATACGCCAATGATGCTAGACCAAGGCAAGTACAACTATTATTATGGATGTAAAAAGCTGACCCTTTTCCTTTCCTCTCCAATAGACTTGCTGGATGGTGGGGTAATGATAAGGCAACCCGATTCGAAATGAAGCCAGGTATGAAAGACCTTTCTTTCTTTGTTTACATTCACGCTCGCTCACACATACATGTAGAGTTCAATCCTTCTCCTGGTGCTTCCGGTTATCAAATGAGTAATCCCAGTATCTTGGCAACAGCTTCATTACTCGGATCGCTTCAAGTGTTTGATGCTGCTGGATTTTCTGCTTTACGTTCAAAGTCGGTATCATTGACTGGGTATTTGGAACGGTTATTGGATACGGTATTGGAAGCCCATCAAAAGGCTGGCCATTTCAGCATCCTCACGCCACGTGATCCCGAACACCGTGGTTGTCAATTATCGCTCGACTTTCCTCAACGAATGATGGATATCTTTGCTCAATTGGAGGCTCGTGGTGTCATTTGTGATGAGCGCAAACCCACCGTGATCCGAATTGCTCCCGTGCCTCTTTACAACACCTACACAGATGCACTACGTGCTGTGCTTTACCTCAAAGACATTCTCGATTCCTTTTTCCCTCTCTCACAATAGACCACTGTACAATACAATTCATTATTAAAAATGATGGGGGTTTATTTATCAAGTAACTAGCTTATCAAAGGATGGATGGAATCCCCACTGTATTAATAGTAGACGGGCTTGTCAGCATGTCCTTTTCATCCTCTTCAAGGTCTATATAAAGTCTTACATTTGCATGCTTGATTCATATCCCAATCATCGATTTCCAAGTGAGAGAGAGAGAGAAAAAAAAATGGAGTGAGTCAAGTTCATTTTCAATGCAGAGTGAATGTGTGAATGTGTGAACGTATGTACAAAGGGGGAATGGCGATCAGGAGGAGAAGCGTCAATGAGGAGAGCGTCGATCACTAGGAAGAGCTCATAAGGATATCAGCAAGATGTTTGAACCCTTTCTCACCACCTGCTACCCACACCAACAGGCCTGAACCAATCATGGAAGTGATCACAACATTGCTGTTAGCTGGATCCTCCTTCTTTTCATTGTCGGCAGTGGCACTGGATGTAGTTGTTGTTGTTGTTGTAGTGGTGGAAGGAGTAGTAGTAGTAGACGAATCAGATTTCAAGGCATCCACAAGTTCCTGTTCCACTTGATCATTCAAGGGTTGTTCTTGAGGTTGTTGCTTTGGAGTATCCTGTGTGTCGATAAAATCCAATACGTTGGGCTCAATGTCCGTAGGTGCAAATGTGTCATTTCCAAGCATGTGGCGTCGAGATCGTTGACTGGTAGCCTTTTGTTCGAATGCACGGACCCAATGTTGATTGATATCTTCTGGCATAGGTTCATTGTTGTCCAGGGCAACTGCTGGTGCAGGTGGGGTAGGATGAAGAGGTGCATCAGCAGTAGCAGTTGCTTGAGAGATGGCAGAGGATGAACGAACATTGGAAGGTGCTGAAGAAAAGATGTTGGATCGTTTGGGTTTTTGTCGAAGATGAGAATGACCCAACTTTAGTTCAAATGCTTCCACCCAATTGCCAGCTTCCATTTCTTGATTGGCGGTGTTCTTCTTTTTGTGTTCTTGTTCCTCATCAATGACATCAGAAGAAGCTTCCATGCTATCCTCAAAGGTGGGACGCGACCCTGGCTCCGATTTTTCAGCTTGACTACGTTGCGTAGCAATCACATCTTGAACGCGACGCTCGATAGGATCATCCATTTCCCATGAAGCCGTATTGCTGCTGCTCTGTTGCAAGAGTCTCTGCACAATTTCAAGTTTGGTACCACCCGTCGAAAGCTCATGTTCACGTGCAAGGTCTTCAAGTTGGCTTTTGCGAAGGCGCATGAGGCTCGTCTTGTTCCAATGAGCCGGGTCAATGGTGCGTCGACAAGCCGATTGGTGCAACATGCGTCCACATGGAGGTCTTGTTGTCAAGGGAACTCGAGTGAGTGTACGTATAGCGTTGAACATTTGTCAAAAGTTATGTGTGTGGGGAAAAAGGAAGAAAATAAATTGCTTTGAGAGCAGAGGGGTTTTTGATGGGATTCATTGTTCAAGCCACACACACACACATGTACACATCCATAAATCTCTCTCATAAAAACCTCCTCCACATAATAATGCTCCTCTTGTATTGCCTTGGCAACCATCATGCTACCCATTGTTCCTATGGATACACACCACCCCCCAATCCCAATGAAATAATGGTACCGTTTAGTGTACTCTATTGAAATGATATCAAAATGAACCCCAGGGAGAAGGAGTGTAATTTCATTGGTCAAGTATGATTGTCATTGTTTATTGGTTCCACGGATATACACCTATCAATGAACATGCATTATGCATTGTGTGCCTTGCACCTTACCTTTCTTGGCCCTGAAACGTGGCTAATTGTGTCCATATTGTTTGTCGTCGCCATCTTTTCACTCCCAAAACATCCTCTTTTTTCGAATTGAATGGTATCATTATCATTGCGTATATATGTAGTAGTAGTAGGGTGATCATCCTCATGTTAGAGAGGGATGTTGACGATCACCGAGTATCCCAAATGATTACGTAACACGTCCGAGATAAGAACCCTTGCAGAAAGAAACATATGGAGGTGCGTTGCATGATATGAAATGGGCTGCGGCTATCGAAAATGCATCACGTTTGCTTGGTGCCTTGCAGATTTTCCTTTTTTAACTAATACATCACCCAACGAAAAGCCGATGGTGGATAATAACCACTATCTAAGCGTCATAATCTCTCGTGGTGGATAAAGTCCTTTCTAGATGTTACCGATTACTGAAGACTTTGATGTTGCTTTCTATGGGGACGGGGAGAGCAATTCACTGATAAAGCCCACTCATCATTACAAAATCGGAGGTGACACCTTGCCTTATCTTGATCTGAAATTCATTCACTCGCCATAAAGATTATGCAAATGAGATCATTGTGAGACATACAACGTGCTGACGATCCGATAGGCATTATGCACTTTACATGTAGTGAATCAGTGAATTCTCAAACGCATCTTGCGCCTAACGTGAGAAGGCGGGAGGTGGTAAATCGGCTATAGAAGCATACCATTTGAGAGCACGTTAACAACGTCGACTATAGTTGAATAGATTTTCGCTCCCTTTTCGCTTGCTTTTAGCCATCTTTCTTGCTTGGTTTTCGACATCTTTTGGCATAGTCATGGGCCGCTTTCTCGTTCGGTTATAGTCGTATTCACCTTCGATTTTTTGATAACCCCATTCCCTATGGTGAGTATGTGCTAGTCGATCAACCAAGAAACGGAGCAAGTCTTCAAGCTGTTAGATACATCTTCTACATGAATGACCCAGAGACTCGGAGCTCGCTTATAGCGTATTTGATCCACGATAAATCTCTTTTGGCAGTTATCATCAGTGACCTAATGATGTTGTTGAAATACATAACCAAACAAGGCGGTAATAGCCTGAGAAGCTGGAAATTTATACTAGGTAATCAACACTCTCATGAAAATAGCCCACGTTTTTATTCATCAAGGGTTGTCTCTATGCTATCTACATGTGTCGGGTGGGGAAGTGGTATGAGCTTGCCTTTGAGTGGCATAACAAGGTCACGTGGCTGACTTTTCTTTCTTGTCGCCCTCCTTCTCCTCAGCACTTTTTGCAATTGTCAACTTTTCCAGTAACCACTCACATGGCCACCATCACTTCCGGCAAAGACGCTTTTGATTCGATATCCGAGGTACATTGAAACTCGTCGCATGACGCCATTGACTTCAACTCACCCATTTCTCAGGGCTGTTTCCTTGTCCTGCCTCAATCACGACGTTCCAATGCTTCCTCCTCTTTGAATGCTGGTCAAAAGCGCAAACGCAGTACTCGAAAAGGTCTTTTGATAACGGCGATTGCATTCAACATCGTTTAGCTAACGAACAGCCTATTATCAGCTACAGCGACGAGTGCCAGTCAACGTGCAAATACCAGCGTCCTTGAAAATGATGGTTTTCAACCGTTGTTCAGTGGTGATGAGCCTTCAGCATGCGTATCGATGCGACACAAGTTTTTCCAAGCCGAGTGGAAAAGGATGAATGATCTTATCAATGTATGTACAATCGCATACATGTTTTGGGCAGTGGGGCTCACACACTATGCTTATAGGACATCTTGCTGGATACGAATAGCGCTGTCATCAATTCGATTGCTGATTTTGTCAACCACTCTGCTCAGGAACAAGGGTAAGTAAAAGGATGATGATGAATGATTATGGCAGGAGTAGTTGATCTAATCATTTCTTTTAGTCTTATTGCATTACCTTTTCATGAAATTCCAACGGCTTTGGTGTTTGCTGGTAAGAAAGGATTGAGTTGACGAGGATTCGTTTTACAGTGGAGTGACTTTTTTGGTAGGTATCAACACACCGGATCATGAAACCCAATTTGAGCAAATTGTGAGCCATTTACGACGAGACAATCATTACGTGGCCTTGCTTCAGTCAAAGGATTGTGGAAACATCAGGAACATGACCAAGACGATGATCGAGCAGTTCCTTTCAGAGACGATGGTGAATGATGATCAACAAGAATTGACGGATGAGGTAAATGCGAGCTATACGCTATATATGCATGCATCGATATTGACAACCATATATAGCCTATGTTTCAATTTGGCGGTAGTGGTCATAGTGGCGCAAAATCGGCCAAGAGATCCAAGCTTCCACCTTACGATTTCCAAATCCTTGAAGGATGGTATCGCCATGCAAGCCGCAACAAACAATCCAACTTGGTGGTGGTGCTACAAGACATTGAGACATTCGAAGCACAAGTGCTACAGGATTTTATTTCTATTTGCAGGTAAGCATTGCGGTGTGTGTATGTATATATATATACATGCGTACTTACTTTTATGAATTAGCGAGTATCGACGACGACTGCCTATTGTTTTCATTATGGGCATTGCCACCTCAAGTGAGATTTTGCACCAATCCTTGACCAAGGCATCTATCAGTCTTTTGCGTGTGGAGAAGTTTTGGTTGGAACAAAGTGAAGTTTGGCTCAATCGTGTGCTTGAAACGGTAAGAATTTGGAAAGCATTTTCATGTGAAAAAAAGCTGATAAGGATATGCACTAGCTGTTCATTGAGCGATCGGATACTCTCAAATTCGGCCCTCGTCCCTTCCGGTTTCTGGTGGATCATTTCTATCTGTATGATTTTTCAATGGGCAAGGTGACCGCTAGTTTAAAGGTAAACAAGGGGGGGGGAAGGAAGCGAATCGGAATGTATGTGTGTATTCATGATGATGGGTTGTAAATAGTATGCCTTGATGCATCATTTTTATGCAAATCCATTGTCGATCCTGCTGCCACTCCTGGGATATGATGCTCAACGATTGCAAAGTACGCTTACCGAATGGCACGAGGAAGGCATCCTTTGTATACATCATGCTACCTTTTTACGTATGCTTCCATCATTCCGGATGCATGTGAATGCACTCGCCGATCAAGATCCACATGAAGCACTCTGTCTCCTGGATGATGATGCATATTTGATGACCAAAGCATTGCCGCAATTCGTTCTAGGCCTTCAGCGATATCAACATCATTTTCGATATGGCATTGAATTGATCCGTATACTTCATCAACAATTTCCCGACATTACGGGTCTCAGGAAACCGAAGAGGGAGTTATTACGTATGGCCCTTGAATCCGATACAGCAGCATTGGGTGAAGCTATCCGATTGCCGGCTGATCTTTTGAGAAAATGTGAAGGGGACAAGTTGAGGCGTTTCTTGCAGCAGCTGCATGCGGTAACAATGCAATTCAGCCACGAGGAAGAAGAACAACAAGAAGAAGAACAAGGAGGGCAAGGAGAAGATAACAACAACAACAACATGACACTCTTGGAAGATTGGATGGAACGTTTGCAACAAACTTTGGATGCTGAAACCACCAAAGCTCAGGAGGCGAAGATGAAGAAGCGGGAGAAAAAGTTGGATGCCATGGTGACGGATACAACACGGCACACTGTGACAGCCAAAAAGGTGCAAGATGAATCAGTAAAGTACCTCAAGAAAACGGGTACTGACAAGACAAAGATTGCAATGGAAGTGGCAGACTGGATCAGCCGAACCTTAAAGTAAGAGCTTGAAGCGGGTTGGGGGTTGAGAATTGGATATGGTTTATTGGCCGCAGTGGCTAACAAGGAGGTAATGTTTTTATAGCAAGTGCCTTATGCAATCGATTACCACTGTGCCAATGTACGAGTTGGCTTATTACACCAATGTCAGGCTGCACGAAAAGTCATTTTCAGCACAACCACGAGCATCCGTTCAAACCGGTCTTGGACAAGCACATCACTACCTGAATTGCAGCTGCTGTACACGCCCAGAGCACATCATGCCTTCCGAACACGACACCTGCATCTTGTACAAGTTATATCTCGAGTGTGGTCGAATGATCAATCTTTACGATTGGTTTGTTGCTTTCGGATGCATTCTAGAACGAGAAAAACGATCCGAACGATTGGATGAAAAAGAAGTCCAGTAAGTCATTGGGTCTCCTTTCAAGCATGTGATCCCACCATTTTGACCACTTTATCTTTTAATAGAGCACGCTTTGTACGATCCGTTGCAGAACTTCAGTTTCTAGGATTTATCAAATCGACTCAACGAAAGACGGATCATGTTCAACGTCTCACGTGGTCCAATATCTAAAGTCGTCAACAGCATCATCGTACATCTTGACTGCATCCTGTTTCATCATCATCATTCTCATCATCATCATCATTGTCATCTTATGCATCACCATCATCATCATCATCATCCATTATTGTCGTCGTTACCTCTGTTACCCTCCCTCCCTCTCCTCTCCCCCCAATTGTATCCGAAGCAACTGCCGATCCTGCAACCATCTATTCTCTACACCTGGTCCAAACAACAAAAAAAGAAGATACCTATCTTTGGATGCATCATAAATGTCAACATTGGATCGAATTGGAATGCTTATTCAGTTTCGTGATGAATGGGATCAATCGAATTTTGGATGGGAAACATGAACGCACAGGCAGTATAGCGCGCGGGCCCATGAGATTTTATATTCCCCGCCTTTGAAAAGGGGTAAAAATATGCGACAAGGTGGCACAGATCCAGTTTTAGTCTCTCTTTTTCTTTACCTGTTGGTTGTATGTAAATCACTCTTTCAGTAACAAGATCCATTGACAATCACACTAAATGCATGGTGTTCGGGATATGATAAACAAAGGACACGGGTTTCTTTAGCCGAGTACAACCGCTGTGGTTTCAATCGATAATGAGAAATGAGAGATCTATGGGCTTGACATGGCCACGTGGAGGAGTGTAGTGTAGAATGGAGTAGTAGTAGTAGTAGTGTAATGTAATATTAAGACTCACAAATCCATTCTCTTGGAAGATAAAACCCCCCAAGTACCTGAGACACAAAAAGCTATTTCGTCCGCCGCCCTTGTTATCAGTTGGTGGTGGTAGCGTATCACACTTTGTATCATTTGATAAGGGATCGACCAATGTTTGCTTTCTTGTCCAACAGAAATTCGTGAATGTACGTTTCCTTTTTTACGTCATTCGGGAAATCGGATTGAATAAGTTCCTTGTCAACAACAACGGATGTTGCCGGTGTGAAAGGAGGGTTGGGGGGTTGTTGGATGAAAAATGATGGCATTTCAAAGGTGCATGACATACACACGTAAGCTATGTGTTGATTGACCTTTTTTTCCTCTTCGCATGTGGATGTATATGTATGGACGTGGGGTATACTCTCCTTTTCACAAAAGCATCACCATCGTTTCCGGCGCTTCCATTGCATAATTATGCACACCCCCTCGCCTTGAAACCCCTTCCTATCACTCCCTAGATTATCACCATCATTTCGCCTGATGCGTCTTTTGACAAGTATATTCAAGAACACACATTCACATAAATGAAAACAAAGGAGACATTGGACAAAGGACTCATTCAACACAAACAATCATGGACAACAAATAAAGAAGGTCTACCAATGTTCATTCATGATCTCTGTTTTTGCCTTTTTTCCCTTTCCGCTTTGCGTATATCGTAATCCAAAAAGATAACAAATAAGTCAAGGGGAAAGGCGCACACATCGCACTACGTAAGGAGGTGGCTAACTTTGATAGATGTTCTGCAAAGAATATTGTGAAGAAGCATCGTCCAATTACGCGCAAATCCAACCCTGTGTAGTCTAGCATAGGCTATTACGCGTAGTGTGTGTGTGTAATAAATGTGTGAATGGTTGTATTGGTTGGTGTGTGTATATGGATCGACGAGATCCCGTTCCCTTGGCAAAATGAGCATGGTCAGCAGCAGCGGCAAGTGGGTGGAGCCAGGGGTTATCTTAGTGGGCGGGGTAAATGGGGTAATAAGAGATAAGGCGGGATTGTATTATTATCATGAAGCATTTCAGTTACACTCATTTGATTCTATTTTATGATGTACATACAACAACATCAATCCGCATCCTTTTCTGCTTGGGATCCCAATGCAAAAAAAGAGAAAGGGTGTATGTAAATGTGTGTATGTGTATACTAAAAGGGCTTTACCCCTTTTGGTACAAGCAAAAGCGATCCGACTTGTGATCTCCTAGTCCTCTCCCCCCCCTTCTTTTTTCGTAGCTGGTTTTGCTGAGTTGACCGAGTTGCAATCCTCCTTTGGGGGGACGTCTTTATATATAAATCTTCCTTGATCGGGTTCCCTTTGGAACCGATTCTCTTCTTTCCATTTCCCTCGCTGGTGTCTCTTTCTTTCTTTTTTTTTTCATTCATAGACGTGCACACACACACACACCTACCTTCTGCAATTTACTGCATCCATTCTCTAATCCCATACCGGCAAGAATCCAACGTCCTTGCTATCTTATACCATAATCATGTCTGAAAAGACTGAAGATCAGCAACCACACCACCACCAGCAGATCAGCGGCAACATCACGTCGCTTACGGTTGAAGAGCTCTATGATAAGGACAAATTTGACCTCTCCACCATGGAGCAAGGTGATGTCCTTACTCTCTTGCAGTACGTTTCAATTTCCTTTTTGCATGTGGATCTCTCTCCTATTTCGATCCTTCATCTCATGTCCCCTGGTTTATTTTTTTAACTGATCCACCCACACCTATCTACCTTGAAACTATAGAACAAGCAAGGAGGGCTTGACATCGGATGAAGCTGCTCGTCGTATCGAAAAGTTTGGTCCCAACAAGCTTGAACAAAAGGAACAAAATCCCTTTTTGCAATTCCTTAGCTTCATGTGGAATCCCCTTTCATGGGTCATGGAAGCTGCTGCCATCGTCTCTATCGCATTAGCTAACGGTGAAGGCCGTCCACCAGATTATCCTGATTTCATTGGTATCGTTTTGCTATTACTTGCCAACTCGTTGATTGGTTTCTATGAAGAACGCCAAGCCGGTAACGCCGTCAAAGCGCTCATGGAATCACTCGCTCCCGAATGTAAGGTGAAACGTAACGGCGAATGGCATACCATGGAAGCAGCAGAACTTGTGCCTGGTGATGTCATTAATATTAAGCTCGGTGATGTCGTTCCTGCTGATGGTCGTCTTCTTTCGGTAAGTGATTTTACACGCACATACACAAACACATACCTTGTGTTGCATCAATCCAAAAAATTCACTAGTGACTAAAATGACTATGCACGTATGCTTATATAGGCCCATGGTCAAGTGTCCATTGATCAAGCTGCTCTTACGGGTGAATCTCTTCCCGTTGGCAAGGAAGCTGGTGATGAAATCTTTTCTGGTTCCACTGTCAAGCAAGGTGAAGCTGAAGCTGTTGTCATTGGCACTGGTCTCAACACCTTTTTCGGTCGTGCTGCCAAGCTTGTTGGTGACGCTGGTGAAGATGTTGGCCACTTGCAAAGCATCTTGACAAAGATTGGTAACTTTTGCCTTGTCTCCATTGGTATCTTTGTCGTTATCGAAATCCTTGTCATGTATGCTGCTTTCCGTTACAGCTATCGTCGTGGTATTGACAACTTGCTTGTGTTGCTCATTGGTGGTATTCCTATTGCCATGTAAGTTGTAATAGCGCTACTCCTCCTCCTTGCATTGTATAAAAGCTCACCATCTTCTTTTCTTTTAGGCCTACGGTGTTATCGGTTACCCTTGCCATTGGTGCTAAGCAATTGGCTGAACATAAAGCCATTGTCACTCGTATCACTGCTATTGAAGAAATGGCTGCTGTCACCATTCTTTGTTCCGACAAGACCGGTACATTGACCTTGAACAAGTTGATTGTCGACAAGCCCACTATTAAAACGTATGCCAATTATAACGGCGATGAGATCATTCAACTATCGGCATTTGCATCACGTACCGAAAATCAGGATGCCATCGATTTTTGCATTGTCAACTCACTTCCTGATCCCAAGCTTGCACGTGATGGCATTGAGGAGCTCGAATTTAAGCCTTTCAACCCCGTTGTCAAGCGTACCGAAATCACATACCGCGTCAAGGAAGATGGATCCGTGCGTCGTGTCACCAAGGGCATGTCACACACCATTTTAGATTTGTGTACCCGTGACAAAACAGAAGAACAAATCAAGGCTCTCAATGATGATGTCGATGAATTTGCTCGCCGTGGTCTTCGTGCTTTGGCTGTTGCTGTTGACGAGGTGCCTTCAGGTGATGTTGAAGGTGAAGGCAAAGGTTTCCGCCTTATTGGCTTGCTTCCCATTTATGATCCTCCTCGTTCGGATACCAAGGAAACGATCGATCGCTCCATTGCTCTTGGTGTTCAAGTCAAGATGATTACTGGTGACCAACTTGCTATTGGCAAGGAAACCGGTCGTCGTCTTGGCATGGGTGACAACATGTTTTTATCCAAAACACTCAAGGATGGTCCACCTCCTGGCTCTGGTTACACTAGCATTGATGACATGGTTCTCCAAGCTGATGGCTTTGCTGGTGTGTATCCTGAACACAAGTACGAGATTGTCGAACGTTTGCAAGCTATGGGCCACATGACTGCCATGACGGGTGATGGTGTGAACGATGCACCTGCCTTATCAAAAGCCAATGTTGGTGTTGCTGTTGCCGATGCATCTGATGCCGCACGCTCTGCTGCTGATATTGTATTGACCGAACCTGGTTTATCAGTCATTGTTGAAGCTATCATTGGTTCTCGTCAAATTTTCCAACGTATGCGTAACTATGCCATTTACGCTTGTTCTATCACCATTCGTGTTGTTGTCGGCTTTGCTATTCTTTGCTTTGCATTCGAACATGATTTCCCTCCCTTCCCAGTGCTTATTATTGCCGTGCTCAATGATGGTACGATCATGACCATTTCCACTGATCGTGTTAAGCCATCACCTTATCCCGATGCATGGAATCTCAAGGAGATTTTCAGCTATGCCATCTTGTATGGATTGTATCAAGCTGCCTCAACACTTGTTTTTGCTGCCGTCATCTTCCACTCAACTTTCTTTGCCGACAAGTTTGGTGTTGAGCTTCCAGCCGATGTCAATGATCATATTTACCATTCGATCATTTACTTGCAAGTATCCGTCATGTCTCAAGCTTTGATTTTCATCACTCGTTCTCGTACTTGGTTCTTCCTTGAACGTCCATCAGTGTATTTGATGCTTGCCTTTGTAATTGCCCAACTTGTTGCTACGTTTATTGCCGTGTATGCCGATTGGGGCTTCACTGCCATGCGTGGTATTGGCTGGAATTGGGCAGGCATTGTCTGGATTTGGAACATTGTCTGGTTCATCCCAATGGATTTCTGCAAATTCTTCATGCAATATCTTTTCACGCCAAGAAACACCCTTCGCGAAAACAAGACTCCTTTGGCTGGTACCTCCTCTCGACGTGCTTCTGCTGTATCAGGTACTGGCTCAGCTCGCTATTACGCAAGCCGTACCAAGTCTCTCAAGTCACTCGAGCGTCCACGCAACTTTGGTGCTCGTCTCTTGAACATGAACAAAAAGATGAGCATGGATCAAAAGGAGATGCGTCGATTCTCCTCTGTTCAGGTAAATACATGACGATGATCGTATACCACATGTTTGATACGTATATTAACATCTTCTTTTACATAGACCAACCATGCTGCTCAAGTCTTGAACTCGTAAATATTACCCATCTCTTTTTTGCATTACCCAACTACTACTTCAAGATCTCCCGCTCTTGTCACCCATTAACAACATCCTTTGACATCACACCTTTTACCCCCCCTTCAAAGTACCATGTCTTGATCTCTACCCATATAGCACACTTTCATACACACACATTCAACATTCTTTTAATTGTATATTCCATATATGAAAGTAATCGTAATACACTTGCTTTCAACATATATTATACAAGTATTTCAATTAACATGCCATGACCGATAGCTGCAGGTGGAAAGGATTGGAATGTGGTGGTCGTCTGGTTTGGGTAACATTGGATGTGCCTATTTAGAGATGAATGGAAGTTTCATTACAAATTTAGAGATATTTCGGATGTTGGTAGCGTACGTACTATGCATGTAGTAGCCGAACAAGATATGCCGATAGTAACAGCCACCCATCATTGCATGCATCATGTACAGAGGACCTAGGATGATGAATCTTTTGCAATCAATGAACCCATTTCGGATGATCCATGGCATGATGTGCCTGCATTTTTACCTGCTATCCCGATAAACAAACAATTCATGCATCGATCCAATGGAATGGATTACTTGTGATATGATTACTTAGTGTCTGCATGAGAAGGTGCCACGCAACAGATGGTGATAATCGACATGTCGTCATTATAAAGATCAGCAAGGTGTCCAAGTACACAAAAAAAGAGCTGGTGGTGTAGCATGCATTAGCTGCGAGAGAGTGAACAACCACGCCAAAAGATTTCTGCATTATGTAGGAGGAGAGGAGGAGGAGGAGGAGGAGGACCTCGTCTGGAACGTAAGGAGATACAATACTTCTTTATTTAATACACATGTCCGGTTTTGACATTGCAAGCTTTCGAGACAAATTGCCACGGTCTAGAAAACCCAACACAACCTTTGATCTACGTAAGGGTGGTCCTCTTCTACTTTTATGCATTCTCATATCTAATCTTGGGGGTTTCCATAGAAGACGATGCTTCGTCCGGTTCAGATTCAAGCGATTCCGACTATAGCAGCCAAAGACGCAAAAAGAGTCGACGAGTTCTCGAGTTTACTCAACCAGAATGGAGCGATGACAGTGACAATGAAAAGGATGCGGCGAAGGAATCCATAGAAACCAAGACGTCTGACACAGCAGCAGCAACAACGGCAGCAACAACCTCTTCATCCAGTGTGGCAACCGAGCAGACTTCACAGCAGATTATGACCCTCTTGGATGACGATGATGACGATGATGATTTGGTTGGCATCAAAAAAGACGATACACTCATGTAAGAAGGGATTGGAGAGACTTGGAAGGTGAAGAAGATATTCATGCCGACTTTAGAATATTGTCAGATGGCGATGACGAGGATGAGATACAAGAGATCAAAGAATTACGAAATGTGAATGGAAGGTAAGCATGGTGGATTGTGTATGGTAATATGAGATTCATTGTTATGTGGATAGCATGCACCCGAAACGATCGCATCATGAACCACAACCATCAACGCTCCCAAAGAGAGCCAAAATAAGCATTCCAACATTTCAACAAATCGAAGATCTTGATCCTGATTTGGCGTCCATCCTTCCTGGCAGCGCACCTTCACCATCATCAGCATCGCAAAGCCCATCACGTGCCACGAGTCATAGTCCTGCGCCAGCACAAAAGGTACTCATCAAGGTGTGCTACACGACACCACGGATACCAGACGATGAAAGGTTACAGGTGCTGATCGATAAGCTCAAAAAGCCGCTTAGCGTTTATGTGATGGAGGTATGGTATGGGATGTTATTGTGGATATTGGGTGGTGGTTATGCTCATTGTATACGTTGATAGAATGACCCTTTTGACAAATTGTTGACTCGTTATGCGCAGCACAAAAAGTTAAGGAAAGATGACTTGCAATTGGTATACAAGGATGTGCCAGTGGTGCTACGAGCGACTCCTGCTAGTCTGGACATGGTCACAGGTGGACAAACCAAAAACTTGATGCGTGAGTATATGGAATGGGGAAGAATAAGATCATGATTGATTGATTGATTCATTTATACGTTGAGTAGAGGTGTATGTCAAGAGCGATTATGAAAAGATCATTCAAGAAGAGTTGCAAAAGAAGGAGGAAATGGAAAAGATGTTTGAGAAGCCAATTACGGATGAGGAACTATTTGCTGCCAATACCACCACCACCGCCGCCGCCACCACTACAACCACCACTACCGAGGAATCCACGCAAGGCGCTGATACGGAAGACCGGTTATTCCTTAAATTGCGAGGCAAGGAGGGTGATGATGTTGTGTGTCGTGTAAAAAAGGTAAGTGGAAAGAATGGGATTCATAGGGTGAATGTTCACACACGTGCTTTTAGACAACCACTATGGCGAATTTGGCCAAACATTACTGCGCAATCAAAAAGCTGGGCGATAGTGTGGCGAGCAAAATCGAACTTTCATTTGAAGGAGAGACTTTATCACCGAATGACTGCGTAGAAGATACTGAATTAGAGAGTGAAGATATTGTAACTGTAACTATAAAGTAATAAGGGCATCCAGCAATGCTATGTAAATAAAATGAGGGTCACCACATGGAAAAGACTTATCGAGTTGAGCATGAGGCTGCAATCCTAAAAGGCGATTAGCGTGGTGACACAAGCTGTCTGGGACACAAAAGAATCCGGTATTGAATGCAATTAAACGATACACGCTTCTCTTTCACTTTTCACTACTGATGGCACCTGCAGCTACAATTCCTGATGGAGTGGGCGTTGCTCATCTCCCCAATCAACGGCACAAGATCGTCTCGAAACGAGGTGCTAACTTTACGTTGATGGTTTGTGGTAAAGTCTTTTTCTCTCTTTCTTGCTTCTATCTCGAGTAGGCCGGCCTTTTCAATAGACTAATAATGATGATGATGATCATGGTTACCAGGTGAATCCGGCGTTGGCAAGACAACCTTTGTGAATACTCTCTTTACCACCACCATCAAGGATCCCAAGCAACTTGCCAAGCGTCACTCAAAGCAAATCGACAAGACCGTGGAGATTGAGATCACCAAGGCCGAGTTGGAAGAAAAGAACTTCAAGGTCAAGTTGACTATCATTGATACCCCAGGCTTTGGTGATTATGTCAACAACCGGGATAGCTGGATGCCAATCGTCGAGTTTTTGGATGATCAACATGAAAGTTACATGGTTCAGGAACAACAACCCACTCGAGCTGGTATCATTGATCTTCGTGTACATGCATGCTTGTACTTTATTCGTCCCAATGGCCATACGTAAGTACTACTACTGCGCGCGCACACACAAAGGAGGAGGAGGAAGGATGGGTGGAAAGGGGGGGTGTGAGAGGGCTTATCCTTGATTCGAGCGATGTATGCATGCTGACTATGATCTATGATGCAGACTCAAGCCCCTGGATATTGAAATCATGAAGCATTTGGGATCCAGAGTCAACCTTATTCCGGTGATCGCCAAAGCAGACACTTTGACTCCCAACGATTTGGCTAAATTCAAGCGCAACGTAATGTATTCATTCATTTACCTTGTCACACACATGCTCAACTTTTTACAATAGATTTTGGATGTGGTGGATGCCCAAGACATCCGTGTCTATAGCTGCCCTATTGAAAGTGAGGATGAAGCTGTCACCAATGTCAACAAGGAAATCATGAGTGCACATCCATTTGCAGTTATTGGATCAACCGAAGACGTGACTACAGCAGATGGCCGCAAGGTCAAGGGACGTCAGTATGCTTGGGGCTGTGCCGAGGTTGAAAATGATGCCCATTGTGATTTCAAAAAGTTGCGCAACTTGTTGATTCGATCCCACATGCATGATTTGATTTCAACAACCGAGGAAGTCCATTATGAAATGTATCGTCAAATGCAAATGGAAAATCGTAAATTCGGTGAAGCCAAGTAAGTCCATATCATCTAATAATGAAATCATGCCTGCTCACACTTTATGGGATTGTTGTAGGGCAAAGAAATACGAGAATCCCAAATTCAAGGAACAAGAAGAAAAGTTGCGTTTGGCATTCACAGAGCAAGTCAAGAAGGAGGAAAACAGATTCCGTCAATGGGAAGCTCAGGTATGTAGAGTATACACGCCTTTGTATGGAGATGTTAATAGCTTACATGTATTTTTTGTTGTATAGCTTGTGAGTGAGAGAGATCGCTTGAACAAGGATTTGGAAGAGCAACACGCCAAGATCAAGTCCATGGAAACTGAACTCGAGAATATCTATCAGATGCAAGGACGAATGCGAAGATAATCAATCAACCATAGCCACCCATCCTATTTTCTCTTTTCCTCTCCCTCTCTCTACTTCCTCGATATCACTTGAACGTTTAAACCCCCCCTCATCCTTTGCCATTATCATGTTATTCTTCCTTTATTATTTGTCGAATCATGAACATACTATTACTTATCCAATGTAATGCAAAATGGTCATGGTACTATTCTCTTATCATTGTCAGTGATCACCTGTGTATTGATGGCTTCCTTCACCTTGGAAGTTGGGTTGCATTAAACGACCTTGTGCATGATGATATTCAACTAAAGCACTTGCAGGTGCACACCCACAGAGCAAGAGATAGCTATCATTAACCTTCAGAACATCCAATATAAGCATTCAAGTCATGATCATCCAAGCACTTTTATGAGCACGCATGATTGGACATTGTTGTCGAGCAGCGGTTGATAGGGTGATTAGCATGGTATCCATGCATCCATTGAAGCAGCTAAGAATGGTGGCTTAACAGTGAACGAATAGGATCATCATGGGCTTGATGAATAACACGACGTGTGTCGCCATCCTCTTCTGATAAGATGTGCGTGTGTGCGTGTGCGTGTGTGTGTGGGTGGGCGTGGATGTGTGTGTGTGTGTGGGCTAAGTGTGACTAACTCGGATGTTGTATCTTGGACTACCGTCTTTTTATTTTTTTGGCTCTCTCACTCTCTCTCACTCACCCACTCTCTTTCTCAAGCAAGTGATCACATTTCAACTCTTGCGTTGACTGCACAGTGAAAAGGTAACTATACAGTGCAAGAGCTATCCAATGGTGCACAGGATGATTGCGGACGATGGTGGGGGCGATGGAAGGCAGCTATGCCAGCGACCGAGCTATACCACCCGTGTTGCTATGGAATGGGGGATGGCACTCTTCACATTCAACAAAGCTAACGTCTTTTTTTTTCTTTTTCTTTCAAGGATATCAAAGCAACAATCAGCACACCCAAACTCGAGTACAAAAAGGGCCAAAAGTAAGTAGCAGTATGCCACAAGAGAAAGCGTGTAGAGTGTAATTAATCATTCATTCATTCTTTTAGTGGATGACATGAGCAGTGGCACTGAGAGCGACTACGCAAAGTACTGGATTGACTGGTTCCTCGAGATTAAGGGCAATGAATATTTTTGTGAAGTGGATGAAGATTACATCTTGGATCGATTCAATTTGACGGGTCTCAGTCAAGAAGTACCACAATTCTACGCCGAAGCATTGGATATGATCACTGACAACTTGGGTAAATACATGGCTTGGTTGATGATGAGTCAATGATGATAGATAGGCTGACATTTGCTTTTCTTGCATAGATGAGGAAGCACTTACTGATAAGGTCCGAGAACAAATTGAAAAGGCTGCTCGTCATTTGTATGGATTGATTCATGCTCGCTTTGTGATCACGACACGTGGATTGGCCAAGATGGTAAGAAAGAAACCTATTGCAAAAGAGTAAAGAGAAGAGTTGGATGATTGATTTTGCATGTGATAATGTAGTTGGACAAGTACAAGAAGGCTGATTTTGGTCGCTGCCCGAGAGTCCTTTGCCATCAACAAGCCTTGTTGCCAGTGGGTTTATCGGATATTCCTTTGACCAAGACCGTGAAGCTCTACTGCCCACGATGTGAAGATATTTACAATCCCAAATCTTCCCGACATGCAGCCATTGATGGTGCTTATTTCGGCACATCTTTCCCTCATATGCTCTTCCAAGTACATCCATCCTACATGCCACCAAAGTCATTCGAACGATATGAGCCTCGCATCTTTGGCTTCAAGATTCATGCAATTGCGGAACAACACAGATGGCAGGATCGAGCTCGACAGGAATTTAATGAAAAGTTGAAGGACGACGATGAAAAGGATCAAGCATAGCCCGATTACTAACTACAATATATCTCTTGTATCAAATCATCTACACAACCCTCTCGCACACTCGCACACACACACACACACCCTCTCACACACATATATATATACGTATATACATACACACATAAATGCATGTCTTTTTTGTGTTTTCAATTGAGCATAAATTAGTATACTTAAGGAAGTGACCGTATCAGTTGGTAACCTTTTGCTCTTCTTTTCTTTTCCTTTTTAAACCCGTATCCACCCGCACCACTCGTCGCTTTTATTATCGACATGGGCAACTCCAACTCGACTGAAAGCAATCATTCCGATCGACACAACGTCAATGCCACTTCAAGTACAGGTGGTTATCCCATTGACAAGAAATCGCCAGCACCACCCATAGTAACCCCCTCATCGCATAAAGACACGGACCGTCGCATACCCTTCCGCTTATCCGTAACGTCTTACACTGCTGATAACGACAGCGATCGACCTCCAGATTCTGCTACCAGCGACATTTCAGTCAGTGGCATGGGTGGTGAAGAACGCATGTGGCCTTCTTCATTGTCGTCGTCGCCTGTTGGTAGTAGTAGCAACAACCCCAACACTGCCACCCCAACCATAAGCAATACCACACCCGCTACCACCACAACCGCTGCCACGACGACCACTGCTACGCCTACAACACCTTCCACCACCACTACCAATACCGCCACTACCACCACAACAACAACAGCAACGCATGCACCAAGAGCAGTACCACTCTCAACAGGCAAATCTGGATGGGTCTCTAGTACAGGCAATACAAGTCCATGGTATGGCGGCTCTTTATCATCATCCACCTCATCACATCATCGAAGCGATTCTGTTCGTGGCCCCTATTATCGTGCTCGAGCTATGAGTGTCAATCGAGACTCTGAAGCAGATGACGAATCATCAACCATTACACAGCAACGTTTTAACCGGAATCCAAGCATGATTCGTGATTCACAACAAAAAGGTAACACACACACACACACATGCATACATACGTATACAATGATCCATATCATTAATACCCAATTGACATTAGGCATTCCTACCATCATCACTTGGGCCCAAGGAGGACAAAATGTCTATGTCACTGGTACTTTCAATGGATGGAAACATAAGATAAAGTTGGTCAAGAGGTATGTTTTACATTGATCATCCTATATGAAGATGATGGCTGATTCTTTTTGTTTAGCACACAAGATTTTACGGCGGTTTTAGAGCTTCCACCGGGAACACATCGATTAAAGTTCATTGTCGACGATGAGTGGAAATGTTCGAATGAAATGGAAACGGCTACGGATCCTGATGGCAACTTGGTCAACTATCTTCAAGTATCGGATGAATATGAGGACTCGCTGGATGAATTTGGTGATAGCAAAACAGATCAAGGTATGAGCTGCACATGATAGGCACAACCATGTCCTAAATCACCATCATTGAAAAATACGTAGAAGCAGGATCAAGATCATCTACACCTACGGAAGAATACACATCACAGATACCAGCCGATTTATTAGCACTTGCAGCCAACATGTCAGAAGATGAACAAGGACAAAAGATTACAGCTGAATGGGAACAACGACAGCCTCAACCGCCTTCTTTACCACCCCACTTGGAAACAGTGTTACTCAATTCTCAAGCCATCAGCGAGGAAGATAATTCAGTATTACCGGAACCCAATCATGTCACCTTGAACCATCTCTATGCAAGCTCCATAAAAGATAACGTCATGGCTCTATCAACAACCACTCGGTATCGGAAAAAGGTAGGCAAGGGAGTGACAAAAGTGATCGTATCCTATTCGTGTATGCTTATGTGATGTTTTTATGGTGGTAGTATGTCACGACAATGTACTATCGTCCAGTGTTTCCAAAGAGGTAGAATCATTGTTGAATCAATACATTGGCTATTATACCGGGATACATGGGATAAGGACTGCTAGGATAGGGGCATTCTATCGTGTGCATAATACAATGGGATGGGGATTTACTACATATTGGTTCAATGTAGGAAGAGGTGAAGGACTTTTGAGAATGGCTAATGCAATGTGGCGGATCACAATGTTTCATTGGCGCTTGTGTTCCTTATTCCGCACTTGTTGGTCAACTGGGTCCCAGCACTGGGTGGCATTGTTCAGCAACACGTTTCTCGTCTCCACATACAATGGTAACTTGTCATCGATTGATAGCACCTTTCATCTATGCTAATCCAACAAGACATAGTCTGCCATTTTCAATTTCCAATCGCTACTTCTTGCTGTATTGCTATTGATTTGCACTTGCACTTACATTCGCGCTCAAGCTCCCTCTTTGCTCGATCGTAACAAGACTGGGTAAGTCCCACTACAAGGAACTCGTTGTGTAGAGTGAAGACGTGTTGACATCCTGTTACAATTATTATCCTAGACCTCTCGGCTTGTTCTGGAAAGCAGCACGTATAGGAGAACGTCTAAGCCCTTACGTATCACTCGCGTGTATCATTATGGGCGTCAGTGTTCTTGTCTCGTAAACTACAATCAACAACCCAATCCAATATCCAACTACTACTAGTACCACCATTACTACAACAACAATCAGCATCCTTCCTTTTACATTGTATCCTTTATGAAATATACACACGCACGTTTTTCTTCTGACATGATGGGATGGGCTACAAATGATGGGGCCATGTGACTTTGGATGATGAGCAATAATGCTTGGAGGGATCGCATTGATACAGCGTGCTTTGGAAAGAGAAATCATGTGCAACATCGTTGGTTCTCTCCTAGGTATAGCAAGTCTTCTTGCCTTACTCACTACCCATGTCCGTTACATATAGTAGACGACGCTTCTATAGCAGAGCATGTGCACCAACCGATATACAGGAACCCTATTTTATGGATACCGATAATACTACGCACACACGAAAGAAAATAAAGGTCTCGGCCTTTTTATACGCATGGGTCGGGTATAATAACGGACGACCGATGGGCATGCTATAATCACATGATGCCATTCTTGCTCTTGTAAGATCCCTTTACCATTCCCGGTTCTCGGCTAGTCTATGTACGTTAATCCGATCATCATCTTGAATACGAATGTTTGTTTGTTTACATTTGCCATCGCACATGCAATGGTGGTGCTTCGGAGGTTGAGATGGTGGTGGTGGTGGTGTTGTGCATGTACATAGAAAAGCGAACATGGATTCTCGCCACCGTGTTGGGTGCAAAACGTCAAGCCCGACCTTGCATATACATGTACACACACATACACAAATATGAAACAACTCTACACACATTTGCTTGGCGCACCACACATGCACCTCTAACAGCTTATTACACACGTGTGGGAAAATACTATTGCATGCAAAATCAATCATATCGAGTACTTTTTTATTCTTAGTGTTGGCTAGTAGTATAATAATCGATGCCTTGCAAAGGCAGCATGATGCCATTTTTTCCATACGAAACTAAATAAAACATTGTGTGTTGTTGTCGGGCGGTATATAATGTGCGGATGTGTTGAAACATTTACAAAAGAAAAAAAGTGGAAAAGGTTGAAGGTAATAATGAGAAGAATGACGAGGGGATTACAAGGGGGGGAATGTATACATGAGAGAGAGAGTGTGTGTGTGTTGTGTAAAGGACAATGAAATCTATTCTTGATGATACAAAACGCTGCGTAAAATCTCGCAACGATGCTCCAGCATTTCAAGGAAACCATGCATTTGTTGCTTGTTCATTTGGCTGATGAGGATACGGAATCGGGTGTCGTCCATATTGCTTAATGGTTGTTGCTGTTGTTGTCGCTTAGCTGCTCCTCCTGATGTATTGCTATCATCGTCATCATACATCATGTCCGCGGATCGTTTGGTACCTGCGGATGCTGCTGCAGCGGTCATTAATGGTTTGAGAAGGTTGGCCACCAGGGCTGCTTGTTGTTGCTGATGCTGCTGCTGCTGTTGATGATGATTTTGGTGTTTCTTGTTTGAGCTCTTTTGTCGCATGTGTAATGGACGATGCTGGTTGTATTGTTTGTAATAGAGGCCACAAGCATTGCATAGAGAATGTGCTCGGTCAGGAGTACGTCGCCATAAGGGAGTTTTGGTGACATGGCAGTTGAAACATTCGAGCTGACGTGTGGGACGTTGTGATTTAGTAGAGGGAGAGGGATGTTGTTGTTGTTGAAGGGGAGGTTCGTTGATGGTTGTAGTTGCTGGGGTTGCTACAGGGCTTTCAAGTGTGTGTGATGGATATGATGAGGATGCTGTTGATGTGATGGTAGAAGAGTCAACGTCTTCAAACTTGACGAATTGATCAAAGGGATCCACCACATCGTCTTGGTGGTGGTGGTGAAGTAATGAAGATGGATCAACGTATTCATCATCAGTCGACGAGGGCGAGATAGGCAGCGATTGAAAGAGATCAGGGAACATTTTTTGAAAAAGCACAAACAAGAAACCAAACTACTTTTTCCCTCTGGGTAGTTTTCGCGCGTTTGGATGTTTAGCTTATATATGTGTTTTTTTTTTCTGTGTCCCTTGAATACCCGAGGCTGTCTTTGTACAACCCCACCATAAACTTTCAAGTATCCCTAGGTACACCAACCACATGCGCCCACTGGCTACAGCTTGCGTGCTTGCCATACATGGGCTCAAAGCGGCTCATGCATAGTCTCGATTAATTCCTCTCTCTTTATTTGAGTCTATAGAGATCAATGCTTGCCCCTGGCGATCCATGATGTCAAGGACAAAAAGGGCAATGATAACAAGTAACCAAAAAGCCCAGCAAGTGGAACAGCGCTCTTGCTCTTTTTTCTTTTTTTACTGCTTTCTGCAAAGGCAATGTTGTGTTGACACATCCTCCCACCAATGAATGCACGCCTGGATTGTATACATCGTGTGTCGCAATTTCTTATCGGACCAATCATCACAGTGGTTGGTGGTATCGTTATCGGATGTCGTGATTGGGTAAAATGATCCCGATGGACTTTCATTGCCCCGAGCGCTTCACTAGCCCCATAAATGAATATTCCGATTCATGCGTGATCGCTGTTGTCTTTTTCACCAAAATTGAGCTTCCCATGGTTTCATTATATATGCTCCGAGACGATCACTTTTTGGCATTTCCCTTTCACACACATTCACTTTTTCTCTTTGAACTATGCGACCCACCATCATCATGAATGTAGTACCACGCAACATTAGAATACAACAACGGGCATTTATTCATCCTCGCAATTTCATTGCCGTCAGCTATAACACAACAATACCCACCATGCGTCGTCGTTTCTATGCAACCGCAGATCGATCCAATGAAAAAAACAAGAGCGACAAGGAAACCAAGGAATACTTGGAAAAGATGATGGATGAAGAAGAAGCATCCCAACAGTCTTCTGAACACGTGGATCCTGAATATTGGAATGATCCTGGTAGACATGCGGCAAGTACAATATCATGTTCAACATCCCCAGCATCTCAAGACTAACATGGCTATATATAGAATCCTCACGATAAAGAAGGAAAGCAACCAACACCCGTATTCGATAAGGACGAAAAGAAGAGTAAAAAGTAATAAGCAAATGATGATGTATATGTTGTATATCTACATGACTAGTGACGAAAGAATGAAAAATACAAAATGGGGGGAGGAAATACAAAGAGAGTGTCTATTGCTGCTGCTTTTGTTCAGTGCACACCACCTTGTGACCAGCCTTCCAATGCTCCTTTTGACATTCACGAGAGCAATAAGAGACACGTTGACAACGACCACACTTTTTAAAGTCGCCCTTGTTTTCTTCGGTCTTGGTACAATAAGTGTTGGAGCACTGCTTGTGACGCACATTCTCTGGAAGAGCTTCCTTTGCTAGTTGCTGGATCAACTTTTGCTTTTCAGCATCGCTAAGACGTTCAAAGTTCTCCATGTTTTCATTCTCAAGTGCAACCTTGGCCGCCATCTTTGCACGCAAGATACGAACGAGATAAGCAAAGGCCTCGATATCACCACGAACAAGCGCAAGCTCCATATAATTCTGAGCCTTATCCATGTCGTAAAGGCCATAGTCCTTGGATCCAAAGATAAGGCCAAGCATCAACATAGCATCGGCATCACCATTGTCAGCTGCATATTCCATAAAGTCGATGCCAGTGACGATGTATTCATCCTTGTCATTGCTGGGATCTCCACATTCCTTTGCATATTCAGAGTTCTTGGCCATGAGGAGATACATGCGACCGAGGGCATTGGCGGATGGTGCATAACCCCACTGCTTTGCACGCTCAAAGTGTTCAATGGCCTTTTTGCTGTCCTTGAAAGGTGCAGTGATAGCATTCAAGCCCTGTCGGATCAAACCAAGATTGTGTGCAGCATCAGGATATCCCTCAGCAAATGCCTTCTCGTATGCTTCAATAGCAGCTTGGATGTTTTGAGTGCAACCATATCCACGTTCATAAAAGAAGCCCAACTTGTGACAAGCCATCTAATAAACACAAGTAATCCATATTAATAACCGGGATCCTTCAATGTCTCTTTTATATACTTACAGGATTACCCATATCAGCAGCCTTTTTGTACCACGAGAATGCGACCTCCTTGCAATCCTCACCCTTCTTCATGTTCTTGCCACTAGCGAGCTTGTCCTCTTGCACATAGAGAGATCCGATTTGTACAGCAGCCATAGAAGATCCCTTGCTGAATGCAAGTTCCAAAAGACCCTTTGCACCATCAAAGTTGGGGCTTGCAACTGGACTCATGGCTTCCTTGTTCTTTTCAGCCTCGGCGCTGCGTACACCACCATACAAGAAACTGCCAAGGATCAAATCATGGATGGATGCTCCAGACAAATCAAGGCCTTCGGCAGCTTTGTCAATGCTCATGTCGTTTGCCTTGGATAATCGCTCCACTGCTTCTTGTTGTGCCTTTTCAAACTCTTGATATTCCTCCATAAACTTGGCATTGGCACGTTCGAGCTAAAGCGTGATACCCATTTAATAACCCTTGCCCATCCTCTCGTTTGCTTCTTATCATACCTTCTTTCCAACACTGTTGCGTTTTTCATACTCGGCTGCGAGTTGTTGAGCGGCAACGGGGAGAGCAGTAGGGATCTGCTTTGCAAACTCGGGATCGGTTTCGTTGTAAAGGGCGACTAACAATGCCGACTGTTGTTGCGTCAAACCGAGGAATGCTGGGACATCGGCAGCAGGAGGGGCTTCATTGTCGATGGCAGGTTGTTCTGTTACTTGAGCCATTGGTGGTAAAGAGAGGTGATCGATCGATCGGAGCAAGAGACAAGTGGAAGAAAAAACAAGTGACTTTACTCAAGGACTTGAACGACGGAATTTAGTCTCCTTTGAGATCCCATAGAATGTCATCATCACTCAATTTGTAATATGAACAATGATACTTTTTATCCCATTTACGAATACAATGACAATAAACAAGAGATGATACAAAGAACAATAATGAGGGTGGGTGATGTGGAGGATAACGATGCCATGCTTGGAGGTGGAACAAGCGTTTCTGGTTCACCTACGCTGAACTGGACATCGCGAAAGTAGGCAAAAGTGTCATCGGTAGCAGCATAATCGCTCGATCCACCGCCATAAAACGTGCTGAAAAGGACATCTGATACAGCAAATGATTTGATAGTGCGGAAAGAAAGACCTTCAATGAAAATCACAGGTCGACTATCCTGCCATACACGCAAGATGCCGTTTGGCTTGTCCACGTCGTCCATTTGCACAAATATCTCAATGGTGCTCCATGTTTGTTTCTCAAATTGCAGGTAGCCTCGTCCCAATGATGTACCAAATTCGTCATTACACATTATGCCCTCTGTGTGACATAGATCATGGTTGCTAGGTGGTAAATAGGCATATGCTTCGCCTTCTCCTATTTTATCATCATCACATTAAACCTCGCGTACTACTTTTGTCATTCATGGTCTTACCATTTTCACGCCACATTAAGCGTACTGAAAAGCAATTATCTCCATTAGCCATATCACCACCCGTACAGCCGCGGGTCCCATGTGCACCTAGTAGTATCCAATGTATGAGCAATAATGAATATGCACTTCTCTTCTCAATAAGCTTACCACCAAAGACACCAGGTAACTTGCCACCCTTGACCCAATCAAAGTTATCTGAAAAGGCCACATCATATCGTACCAATCCTTTCTTGAATGCTTGCCCTTCAAAAGGTGACATGTAAAATTGACAGCCACCCGTAACATCGTCATCCGATCCGCTGGGTGTGTAAGAGCCCTTTTGGTAATAAACACGCATTACCGCGGAACCATCACTGCTATTGCTAAATGGATCCGTGACAAAGGATACGTCTCCTGGTGCATAAAAACCAGATTTTCGAGCACCCCATTGCGCCTGAAAGTAGTCCTGCAGATCATCACCGGTTGTTTTCGTTCCCTCGGTCATGTTGGTACAAGGCATCTCTGCATACCATGTCTGATTCATACCCAACTCCATAGCTCGTGGCGTGTTGGGACGCTGTTTGGCACGTGGAAATGGTGCACATTTGGCAGTAATTACGGGATCACCTTGATGTGCAGCAACCAGCGTTGCTATGGTAGTAGACACCAAAACGACGAATGTGTGCATGATCGGATGAAACAAAGACATGCATGAATGTTTGTTTCCAAGTCATATAAGGCATCTGTTTCAGTCATGGGGGGTTTTGGATCCATTATGTATATAATAGCCCATGCCCTTTCTAAGTCTTTCCAAGGATCTACGTCATAAAAGTGTGTGTATGCATCACCTGTCATTGTCAACAAGCATAGTGTTGCCATGAATTGATGCTTTCTTTATTATACTGCTACTACTGTTTCAAGAATGAGCATACATTTGTTTGCTTACAAAGAGGAAAAACAACGCAATTATAAATGAGACATAATATAAAATCAAAAAAAGAGAAACGACGAATGACACGGCTTATAATCAACGATGATGATTATCCATCTCATCAGCATCATGATCCTCATCATCATCGTCCTCTTCATTCAAATCAAATTGCAATGGACCATATGCTTCGGCTTGGGATGATTTTGATGCGAGCAGCTGTTTTAGGATTTTCGCTGCAACCTTTTTACCTCGCAATCGATCACATGTAACCTTGAGACGACTATTTTCTCGACGCATGTGCTCAAGTTGTCGTGACAATAGCTCATTTTCCTTGGTGAGAGATGCAATCAATGATCGCATCTCGCTGTATTGCTGATTCTTTTTTGCTCGATACTTTGCAGATGCTGCCTTGTTTCTTTGACGACGTTCTTGAAGTGACAATGCCGGGGAAGTGGGTGGTGGTGGCACATGCGATGCATGATGGTGATGGTGATGATGGTGGTGATGGGGTGTGGGTGAAGCAGATGCATGATTTATCATTGGGTTGTACTTGTTCTCAGGCGAACTCGGCACCGAAGATGGAGATGACGAGGGTGGAGTGCTTGATTGATAGCTATTGTGGCTAGACGATGATGAAGAAGAAGAGGTGGATGATGATGATGCATGGCTGCTGTTGGCCGAACCAGCAGAAGAAGTGGTTGAAATGATGGATGAAATCGCCATAGGCTTGGGATCAAAGTCGACACTCAATGACATGATGCAAGATGCTGCACGCAAAAGTTGGCACAAGAGAGAGATGTCTTTATGTAAATGTGTCATAAGAGGACAGCATGTCGAGTTCTTTTTAATCTCTTACTGGCACAGCAGGTTCAATTCTACACACAACCATGTTAAAGGGAGCTTCCAGGGTGGATTGTCAATCTAGCACCAGATGCATAAGCAATCATTGTGTGAACCGATACTTCCCCTTGTTGAGTGTATGTGTGTGTGTGTAGATATCATTATTAGGAGGAGGTAAGTGATGCTTGTTATTTGACCGAAAGGCAATATCCCCTTCTTCTCGACACGTCAATGGAAGACACAAACTTTGTTTGGTTCCCAGGATTTGCCGAGAACAAGGAGAGGGAATAGCGACCTTTTCCCGTCAATCAGTCACTGCAGTCGAGATCGCAATCGATGCCGTCGAGTGCCGTGTGTCGTACAGTCTTAATCTTTTTGCAATTAACCCATCAAAACCTCGGGCAACGGCAACAATGGACCAATAAGGAAAGTCGATGGGCATAATATGGTTGCATGGGCTCTTGTGGTTGCACATGGCGACATTCACATCATATGCTTGGCTACCACGCTCACTTTTTTCACTCATCACTCTCTGCGGAATAATTTCTCGGACATTTCCCTTGTTGGGCACATGTCACACAACCCAATGATTTTCAAAATTTGCTTAGCTCATCAATGTTGACAACAACCATATCACTGCCAACATGCTTTATAGGATGACATGACCATTTTCTGGAAGACACAAAATCCACATGCATTCCATTTTGCTATGTATGATGATGTTGACTTTTATGTGCGTATGTGTACTAGGCTACGATGAGTGAAATAAAACATCATGAAAGAGCTGTTCGAGGCTCTGGATTCATATGAGGCGATCATTGTACTATTCATCCATGGTAAACAATGCATCATTGTCAATGTAACACGAATGATACATTGCTTATACAGCGCGTGTAACTATGGTGGCCTGTCAATTGTATATAAAAAGGCTATTGTCTTGAACGCCATCATCCAGCAGAACCAATCTCTCCCCTTCCCATTCCTTTATTAGACTCAAGAGTCAATCATGCGTACATCCTTTATTGGTTTCCTCGTCGTTTTTGCTGGTGCCCATCAGCTGATTTCTGCAGCCGACTGCGAAAATCCACCCTACGGACGTTGCGGCGGTAAGGGATTTGAAGGCAATGAGTGCTGTACCGAAGGCTATGAGTGCACGGTGCAAAATGATTACTATTCGCAATGCGTTCCTGTTGACAATGCCAAATCAGATTGCTCCAAGGCTTATGAACAATGCGGTGGTAAGCATCCATTTTATGCAAGCGTGATACATGACCATCTTTGGCTGATGCTATATATAGGCAAGTCATTCACCGGCTCCAAGTGCTGTGTCGATGGCTTCAAGTGTGTCAAGGCGAATGCATGGTATTCACAATGCTTGCCTAAATATCAATGGGGTATGTAAGAGAGAATAAGAAAAGAAGGAGACACCAACGCATTATTGTTATTGTCAATTACAGGATCTTCCTCCGCTGCTGCTGCTTCTTCTGATGCTGGTCATGAGAACTCCAACAACGCTGAATCCACCACCGAAGCTAAGCCTACTGCTACTAGCACTTCATCTGCTTCTGAAAAGCAGCCTCAGCCTACCACCACTGTATCGACCACTGAAGATGACACCAAGCCCACTACCACTACCACTGTCGAAAGCAACAACAAGGAAACGGCTACTACAACCACTACTACATCAGCTTCTTCCCCTTCATCATCATCCAGCAGCTCCAATTACAAGGCAATCTCTGGTGGTGCTTCAGGTGAAGGCCACACTACTCGCTATTGGGATTGCTGCAAAGCATCATGCAGTTGGCCTGATAAGGCTGATGTTGATTCTCCCGTCAAAACATGTGCTGCCGATGGTATCAAGCTCGTCGATGCCAATGAACAGGTAAAAGTCATTTATAAAAATAGCCCACAAGTGACTCACATTATGTAATACATAGAGTGGATGCAATGGTGGCTCTGGTTACATGTGCAATGACAACCAACCTTGGGCTGTAAACGATGATTTAGCTTATGGTTTTGCTGCTACTGCTCTTTCTGGCAAGGGTGAATCTGAGACTTGCTGCAGCTGCTACGAGCTTACATTCACGTCCGGTGAAGTCAAGGGCAAGCGTATGGTCGTTCAGGTAACCATCATCATGATAGAAGATTGTACAATGCATCTTATTCTTCATTCTTTAATACTTTTTGTATTGTATGATGTAGTCTACCAACACGGGTGGTGATCTTTCTGGAAACCAATTTGATTTGCAAATCCCTGGTGGTGGTGTTGGTATCTTTAATGGATGCCAATCTCAATGGAACGCTCCTGCTAATGGCTGGGGTGAACGTTATGGTGGCATCAGCTCGGCTTCTCAGTGCGACGACTTGCCCAAACATCTCCAGGCTGGTTGTGAATGGCGTTTCAACTGGTTCAAGGTATACATAATCATCACGTGTGCTTGTTGATGGATTCTTATCTCACATCTCGTCTCCATACATAGAACGCTGATAACCCATCAGTCACCTTCAAAGAGGTCACTTGCCCTGCTGAGATTGTCAAGAAATCAGGTTGCTCGAGAAATTAAGCAAGAATAGAATAGCTCTTTTTTTATCATCATACAACAATGAAGAGAATGATGTTATGTATTATCAATTACATGCAATGCAGCTTATTGTGGTTGTGAGATAAGAATGACGAAAAAAGATATTGCATAGATTAAGCAGGGTTGGGGTCATGGGTATTCGATAGCAAAGAATAATAGAAACAATGATGATCACATGAGTTAAAGGCACGAAAAGGGGCAAAAGCGGAAATAGAAACTTTCAGTCGTCGCATAAAGGTAGGTTCTTTGTCTATCTTTGACGCACCATCACACCCATCATCAAGATCCGAGGCCAATTCAAGACACAATGAATCAATCAGTCCCTTCCCCTTCCCTTCTTTTTCCTTTATCACGGCATTCACAAATGCATCAAATCCACACACGACGAGGTCCAACATACAAAGAAGGAAGGTATCTTGCACCCTAGAGACTTATAAATGGTTGACCAACGCAAATGCCGTATTCGCTAAAGTGACCCTTTAATAGAACATCATCCACAAGAGATAGACATAGGGGCAATACATTGATTTGGAAAGGTTTTATCGTTTGAGCGTGCATATTGCCAAGGTGTATAAGTAGACGTGGGGCGGATCTTGATGCGTGGTGGTGAATTATATGCATAGCGTGCCAAAGCATGAAGTTGGATGATGATGATTGTACATGGTTGAGAGATTGCACAAAGGCAGCTGCCATAGAAGAGCAAAGTACGATAATTGGATGCACCAACGTTCAGGATGATAGCATCATGCATGATGGTCAAGTTGAAAATGGATACATAGGAACAAAGGCTCCCTTTCCACACGTTGTATATCCCCAGATCCTTCCATCCCGTGCACCCATATCCATATCCACATCCATATCCATATCCATAAGAAGTCGTATGTATTGATGTAAGTTGCTATGCGTAAATAAAGCTGTTTCTGTACAATGGCTATCTGTTGGTCACGTGAACAAGGCTGCAAGGAGGTTGCTGCAAGTAAAGAACACTGTTTGAGACGATAGAGTAAAGGCCCTTGCTAATAGCAATTGCTGCAATGAATGCTGTTGCGATTGGTCGTGGTTGAGGAGTGTACAAGGGAGGTGTAGTGTCATGAAACGCGTGCGGTGTTGTAGTGGGATGCACACGCCATGGACTTGCCATTCAGTCAAAGACAATCGGATCAAGAGAGCTGTAGGAATGACATGATGGGTGGAAGCAGGACAATCGTTCGCAGGTTGTAGTTGTATACGTGAATGGGGCCAACAGTTGAGAATGGGAGGAAGAGAGAAGAGCTGAGAGTGGAAGAAGTGGAAATTAAATAGATCGGACACCTCTTGTATAAGTGCATGAACACTGTACATCCATTCTTGATATTGAGATTGCCCCTCTCGAACCTGAGACTTTCATACAAGATGCTCTGGAACATGCTGACCATGTTGATCTAAAAAAGCTCTCACGTTTCATTTGGAAATTTGGAATGGGAGGATGCAATGTGGGGTTTACTATGTAAGCCGGAAATGCAGGTCAGCCCCAGATTCATGATTTATCGAAACAATATACATTACCTTAGGATTCCCCATTTCGAACATGAAACTTTCACACAAGGTAGGTTGAGTCATGCTGATCAACTTCATTCAATTAAAAACTACAGGCTTCATTGTGAAGATTCAAAATGCGGGGCGGCCCAAATGGTGGATGATGGCAACAAAACGAGCGGACGGCCCATCACCCCGAAGGTGCCCACCTCCAACTTGAGAATTGGTCAGCAGGTTGCTCTCGAGCATGCTGATCAACTTTTTCTAATAAAGACCTCATGCTTCATTTGAAAATTTGGAATGGGAGCGTCCAAAGGTTTGAAAGACGGAGACATTCGCAGGGTCTGCGATTCATCAATTTACATGTTGGCTGTTCCAGCGTAGCTCAGTCAAATCGGCTCGGATCAAGAAACTTGAATGATGGAAACCGTCGACTGGAGCAGGAGAATTGTTCACATGAAGTGGATTTTGTAACAACGCTGATTGTGAAGAAATGGCTGCTAGCGGGCAATGATGAGCTATTACTGAAAAGTATACATTGACCCTTCCAATCATGCATAATGAGCTGAGTTACCCAAAGAGGTCCTTCTGCATCTTTGGCTCTCCAAGGTCTAGCTTCTTGGCAATGAACAAAGACCACTTCTCATATAGCATCACGCTTACAAACATAAAGGTGCCTGTATCTCCAAACTTTACCATGAAACGTGGTGTTTTTATTAGAGCAATGTGCTCGGCTTGGCCAACTGCACCTTGGGTGTCAGTTTCATGTTCATGTTGGCTAATCCCAGATTTCGCAATGTCGCCACCAGCCAAACTGGATCCGGGGGTCGACCTCTTGAAACTTTTGTCGACGACCTACCAAAAAATATTTTTTGGGCTAGTTGCGACATTGAACGTGAAACTTTCACACAAGGTGCTGTTGGCCAAGCCGAGCACATTGCTCTACTAAAAACCCCACGTTTCATTGTAAAGTTTGGAGATACAGGCGTCTTTATGTTTTACCTATGCTGTAAGCGTGATGGAGTTGCTTTTTCCTAGTGGATGGTGTCGGCTGCATTAACGGAAAGATGAAGAGCTGAGTGAAACCGCACGTAGTGGTTACACAGACACGTCCTTGACAGGTTGCTACACAAATGGATGATGATGATGATTGCCTTTTGTGAAGGTACGTAAGTAAACAGTATCCAATAATGAAGGTGTGTCAAGGTATGTATCACATTTGCATGTAGGAGAAGGT